AGGCGATCCTCGTCCGGAGTAATACCGAGCCCCCTACGGACGGAGCGGCGCACCATAGAAATTCTGATCCCAACGGCCTCTCCGACAAACACTCCCTCAAACCTCGTTTCACAGCTACCATCCAAACTCTCCCCAAAGCCCCCGACGCCTTAAAAACGGGGTATGTGCTTACGCCCGATGATACTAACAACGTTTGGGTGCGTCGTTTCGTGGAGCTCCGCCGGCCGTACCTCCATATCTACTCGGTACCAGAGGGAGACGAGATCAACGCCATCAACCTCCGCAATGCGCGTGTCGACCATGCGCCCGACTTCGCAAGACTGCTCGACGGGCCAGGAGTTGGTGCCGACGGTTCACTGTCCGCCAAGGGACGACCGAATGTGTTCGCAGTCTATGGAACCCAGAACACTTTCCTTTTTGCGACTCGCACGGAGGCACAGAAGGTGGAATGGATCTTGAAGATAGATGAGAGCTACTTCAACAGCAACAGCCCCAGAGCCCCCCTGAATGGCGACTTATAACTCTTATTGGAATTTCCAGCTAGGCGCGCGCGGGCCCATACTCAAGCTTCAGCTTTGGGGCCTCCCTTCATTTCTTATGATATTACGGGTCTAAGTCTACCTTTTACCTTCTACTTTATTCTTTCGTTTTCCCATTTGCTTTCATGACCCGCTGAGATACCCCTTGAACATATCGACTCGCTGTGGCAATTTCCCTCTTATGTACATTATCTTCCGATATAGTTGGGACCATAGATTCGACTGTGCACAGTTTCTTCCACTTTGGTAAAGAGTTTTGATGTAGTTTGGCCTGTATTTGTACGTGATAGAATAGGACTTTATAGTCAATCTAACTACCTAGTTAAATTCAACCAGCCGTAAACTCTACTGTCTATATCTTTCCCTTCTGTCATTAAATGCCGACTATAAGAGGAATCCAGATTCACGCACCAACCATGTGCGTAGCTGAGGCGTTGCCATGGAAACAATCAGAGCTGACACAAGTGACATCAACCCACGAAATATCAGGTCTTCACCTCATAGACTGAAATTATCGATGATGATTTAATTAGAGCCTTGAATCAATCAATAGGGCAGAACTGGAATTTTTCCAGAAACAATGCTTACTCAACGCCCTTCGTTCCGCTACCTGGCCACCGGCGCTGTGGTATCTCTAATTATCCTTGCATTCCTCATCCTCGGCACACATACACCCTCGCTCTCATCACAATATAATGTAAAGACGCAATCCCGACAGCAATATTGTACCCCGCCTGTGAACTCTTCCGCAGGCTGGGAGTTTGTCGTTGAGCGCGATGCAAGCAACCATGGTCTCTCCGAGGACCAGTGTCGCATTGCTTTCCCAAAGCTATTTGTTGAGATTGACAAGTCATCTACACTGAGAGAAAATAAGCATGTTTCATACAAGGAACTCGATTCCAGGACAGTGGATGATGCCATGGTGCGGGGCATTATTGATCGAGGAGAGGTGGGTGAAACAATCACCCTCGTGGATTCGAGAACACCTGAATCTAACCCATTCCGTTCAGTTGTACATTGTCGACTATGCCCCTATGCCCATGACAGCATCTCGAGCACGTGCAACCCTAAGCTCCCTCCACCGCGCCCTGACAGCATTCCCAGACCGTCACCTCCTACCCAGCATCGAGTTCATCTTCACCACAGAAGACTTCGCAGAAGACACAACCGCCCCAAGTCCCATCTGGGCCTACTCAAAACGCGACTCAGATACCTCTGTCTGGCTAATGCCTGATTTCGGCTACTGGGCCTGGCCAGAGGTACATATCGGGCCGTACCACGAAGTGCGGCGCCGCATTGCTGCAATCGACGACGGCGAGACTGCTGCAGACGGTACATTTATGCCAGGCCTACAATTCCAGGAGAAAAAAAAGCAGCTCGTGTGGCGAGGCAGTCTGGCGACCAACCCGCCTGTCCGAAGCAAGCTGCTCAAGTCTGCGTTGGGTCGTAGCTGGGCCAGCGTGCGTGTCATTGACTGGGATGACCAGGATGACATCCGCTTCAATCTTCTGCCTATTGAAGACCACTGCCGGTACATGTTCCTCGCGCACACCGAGGGCAGGAGCTTTTCTGGTCGGGGGAAGTATCTTCTGAACTGTCGTTCCGTTGTCATCTCACATGCTCTTGAATGGCGCGAGGCTCATCATGCAGCACTGGTGTCAACTGGTCCCGACGCAAACTATATTGAGGTTGATCGAGATTGGTCTGATCTATCGCGCAAGATCGATTATCTTATAGATAACCCGGAGATTGCGGAGCGTATTGCTAATAATGCAGTGCGCACTTTCCGTGATCGGTACCTTACTCCTGCTGCTGAGTCGTGCTATTGGCGTCAGTTGGTTCGGCAGTACTCTGCAGCTTGTGATTTCGAGCCCGTATTGTTCTCGACGGGCCGGGATGGTAAGACACAGCCTCGGGGCGTTCCATATGATACTTGGTTGCTTATGCATTGATAAGCTCTCAATCAGTTGGGCTTGTTATGATTGTGCTTTTATTACATCTTAGTGTTTTGCTTTTGCGATATTCCCGGTTGGCCTTGATGGTGATGACCCTTGTATTTTTCCAATTTGTGCTTCCGTACATGAGATAATTTTCTCTATCATACAAAGGAAGTTTCCTTATATTCTCAAGGACGGAACAATGGTCGACCCGCCATATCGGGCGTCGTTGATGCGGATATTTCTATGCCCTTCTCTGTATGCGAGGATCCTTTGAAGACCACTCTTCAACCCTCTTTTCACTCACACTCCCTGGTAAATGAACACTGTGTCTTTAATTATAGTGGTACTTTGATAAATGGCACTTCTATGGAAAGGTTGTGCCCTAAAGGAACTAGCCCACTTTGGCGATAGCGATTCCTGGCGTTGCTTTTACCTGCAGATAACCGTCCATCAATCAGTGCATGAGACAGAGTTGCTTAAGCTTATTTGCATTAGACAGAGGGAAAGATTTTCGATTCATTTTCAGCCAATCTTACTTGAAAAAAATGAGCGCAAGCTTGCATAAATTCAAGATCTCGCAGCTTGATATCTCGCGGAGTGAAATGTGGCAAGAACATCTTTTGGAGTACTGAGGGTTGATCGTGGGATCCTTAGCATACTTTGGTAAGTGGAAGCCCACGAATGATGCCAAGCACTCACTAGTCCAGGGGAGGGATTGACACAGTGACAATTAATGGAATTGAATGCTTTTTTCATAGTTCAAAACGCCGTTTTGCCCTGGCAACCAAGCGACTTGTAGTGACTGGGATGAGAATAATGTCATCCCTCTCTCAATTCGGAAACTGAACATTCAAGAAATATGCCGCAAAAGTCGTGGTGGAACTAGTTGAGTGCCTACAAGTTCACGCCCGCACTTCCGCAAACAGTGCAAGTCTCTTGAAGCTTGCGAGATTTTTTTGCTCTCTAATATGAGACAAGTTTTAAGCCTCAAAGTGGACTATTTGTGGGGGCCGCACGGATTGAAACTGAGCCCAAGCTCCGTAGGCCTGGTCGCCGATGCAAGACTTACATAGCTATGCTGTATATAGGGGCAAATCAGCGACGATGGAGATGTTTCAGGTAGTACAGTCGAACCCCGTTAATCTCGAAGGATTGTCGGAGAGACCCCGACAAGTGAAGGATCTTGGCATTTTGGGTTGTGTAATATATTATTTCTGCACTACATGATTTTGTCTGAGGGGCGTTTCAACCCAGAATCCTAGCTTAAAGGTGAAAGATAGTGTTAGCCCAGTAGAACTTATAGAGTGAAGTTGATAATGTGGGTGGTAGCAGGAAAGGTTGCAAGCTTATTTAGGAAGCCTTGGCGATATTCACTATTAAAATGCCAAGTCCATGGGATCTACTTCGTATTAACGGCACATTTAAGATTATTCTGATGAGGCACTTGCATCTCTGATAAATGTGCCTTGCATAACATGTCGAATTCTGTTTTGCTAAGCCCTGATACCAATTCTCACGTGACTGCTACCTTGCTCCGAATATTTTTGGCACAAATTCTTCTTGCCTTTGAGAATGGGCCCATCTTCAGAGTTGCTACTCAAAGGAAGGCGGGAGGATCCAGATCAGCACCAAAAAATAGCCAAAAGAATGATTGATCGCATCAGAAAGTCGGAGATGCCAAACAGAAAAACAGACTCGCGTAAATTGCTTCAAGAGACGTCAGTGGGCCATTCTGTCGAAGTGTGTTTTGAGCAAACCCGCACCCAATCACGAATTGTGTTGAGCTGGCTGCGGTTCAAACATCAGATCGTGGCATGTCTTCCCTAACTACTCCGTACCTACCCACAGCATGTATGCAGAAAGATACCCACTCTCCAAGATTGGGTTGAAATAAACATCGTTGATCCATGGATCGGTCATCTTGTCACGTTTTCGCTGACTTAATGCCTGATGCCGGGGAAAGGGGTAACGTCGCCTTTTTTTTTTTATTGCCAGTATTCTAACTGTCTGATCTTAGGTTTAGCCTGGGCTAAGCCAAGTTACACTCATTACAGCCGTGATGCATTTCCTCTCATTTGCTTGTTCCTATGCCCGTGGCTGAATTTTTCAACATCGCTGTTTTCATTTGAGACGAAGTTTAGCCGCCTCAAAATTCCGGCTGTAAGCTTCTTGGTTTAAATATCTCATAAGTTGGGGGGTTCAAGCTGGTGGAAGGATTCAGCAATTTAGTTGAGGATGTGATGAGCTACCGCTAAGACTTGATCGGAAAGGAATCGTGGTCTGTGTATGGAGCATGATTAATTAGTGCAATTTGGACAGGTGAGAATGGATTTAATTGTTCACCGGCCAAATTGAATTTAAGACATCCGGGACATGAAACTGTTCAGAAACACCCGTCGACGCCCCACATCCTCCCAACAACATAAAAGGAAGCTTTTCCTCAAGAAAAACCACCTGTCACAAAGCAACACCTTCCAATTTGTTCGTCTCTCCTACTGCCAACGATATCAGATCCTTCATCATGGTCTCTTTCTCAAGCCTCTTTGTGGCTGCCTGTGCTGCTGTGACTGCCTTTGCGCTTCCCAGCGAGTTGGAAAAGCGAGCGATCACCACGAGCCAGCAAGGGACTAGCAATGGCTACTTCTATTCTTTCTGGACCAATGGAGGGGGAAGTGTCTCCTACAACAACGGTGCTTCAGGTGAATACAGTGTCAGCTGGTCCAACTGTGGATCTTTCACCTCTGGCAAGGGTTGGGCTACCGGAAGCTCCCGGTAAGTCGAGTAAGCCTCCTTTTCTCGTCGTAGAATGCTGACCAGTGCATCATGTCAGAAACATCAACTTTTCCGGCTCTTTCAAGCCATCTGGAAATGCTTACCTCGCTGTCTACGGGTGGACTACTAGCCCCCTCGTTGAATATTACATCATGGAAAACTATGGCGACTACAACCCCGGCAGAAGCATGACCTTTAAGGGAACCGTGACCAGTGATGGATCTGTCTACGATATCTACACCCACCAGCAGGTGAACCAACCCTCAATCTCAGGAACTGCGACCTTCGAACAGTATTGGTCCATCCGCCGGACCAAGCGCTCCAGCGGAACAGTTACCACTGCCAACCACTTCAAGGCTTGGGCCTCACACGGAATGTATCTTGGCTCGCACAACTACCAGATTGTCAGCACTGAGGGATACCAGAGCAGTGGGTCCTCCGACATCACTGTCTCTTAAGCGTGTTAAAGCCCTGCTGTGACTTCACGCGAAATGTCTACTTGTTTTTGGCAGAATTTGATTGTGATGGACCTAATTAATCTCCATGGAGCAAATTTGTGTACCGATATATTTCCTAGCATCTGGGTCATTTAGGCCTTTAACTCATTAGCCTTCTTTTCAAATAGTTCGGATTTTTTTGGGTTGTCTTCCTGTGTGTCTTTTCGAATTTTCAAAAAGGGGGAAAAAGGCAAAAACCGCATACAGGGCCTATCAATGTACGGCAGGACTTTTTCCCTCTTTTGTCGGCGAGTTTCTTTCTGGTCCATTTGTGGTGAAATTGAGGGAGGGTGGCCCCCGGCGGGTCCTCGGGGGGCTTGAGAAGTCTTTCAGGGCACGGAAGGAATGTTTCAATATAGTTGGTCATTGATCTAGATAGATGAGCAATCTAACAAAGTTTCGAAGGTTGAGTAGCTGTTGAATTTGTCATTAGAGCTTGATCATCTGCAAAAAAGGCCCCCAGTTGTTTTAACATCTCTTCTGAAAGTCAAGGTCCGAGTTGCCTATAATAAGAGTTGGTCGATGATCTCCCGGGTCAGTCCCACTGTCTCGTCGATACGATCGAGGAACGGCGCACAGTGACTGGACGCTAGCTCCTTGACTATCCACTTCTTCTGCGTGGCAGCCATCATGCCGTATTGCGCCTCCTTCAACACTGCACGATCCTCAGTAGTAACGATAAACGCCAATCGTCCTTGGAACGCCTTGTCCGCCCAAGCCGGATGGGGCTGCGGCGAGGTGAAAGACATTGTTGAATGCGGTTTGACTTCTGCGATCAGAGATTGGGCCAATTTCGGATTGACATCGGCAGCAAATCTGTTAATAGCATCATCTGCGATATTGAGATTCACCCTGGGCTACAACAGATCAGCAAATTGAGCGCAAATTCCACATCGTGGGGCATAGTGGGCGAAGAGATTTTACCTGATCGGTCAAGATCCAGGGGGGCAAGTTCCCACCCTGAATACCTGCACAACTGATGCCTTCGGGCACAACAAAGGCTGCAAGGAATAGTAGTCCAATGATCCCACCGGCTTTGCCCTCTTGCGCCCGCTGCGATTTGGCTAGCCCGGTAGCCGCTGCGGCGCCGGGCATGCCGCCATAGGAGTACATAAAGACCAGAACATCTTTGCCCTCTCCTTCCACGAGAGACTTGAGAGGAGCAGTAACAGCATCGGCATCCGCCTGGCAGTTGTTTGCGTACGGCTCCTCGGAATTGAATGAGGGATAGCCCGCGAAGTGAACATCGTAGCCAGCGACCTCGAGAGCTTGAATGAATGGCCGGTAGAATGCCGGAGCGATCCAAGCGCCAGGAACAATTAGGATGGTGGTCATGGTGTCAGATATTAGATGGATTTTACACCAGATCCACCAACAAGTAACGCTGCTAAGAATCTCAAGGAATTCTCATTTCCACTTGCAGAGGTTCGTTTAACGTCCATGCTTTTTTCGTTGAAGTCATGCCAGACCAACTTGCCATATTGGGCATATTAACCCTGATTGTGTCACCAATTAGCGTGAAGTACGCCTGGATTTGCGGGCTGTAAATTAAAGGCTCCCCTTTACCGCCTATTCTGAGGTGGACAGAGGTGCTTACAGGATAAATTGACAATGCGCTAACTTCAATCGGACTTGGCTGGTCAATTTGTTTATCCCAAAGAAGTTGTCATCTCTCGAGGTGCAGATTTGGCGTTTGAGTAAATGGTCGCGCTTTTAGCATGCCGGAATTCTTTGTACAGACGCCAGTTGACTTTAATAGCTTCAGAACCACGCAATCCTCACCTTCTAGTACTTATAATTGAGCACTCCTCCCTGTCACCTCCTCCTCTGATCTCATATCGTCTCTTTTCACAGGAAAATGATACTTACGGCCATAGCGAATAAAAAACAGAGCGTCCCTTCCGCGCAGCTGTTTTAAGCAACACACAAATGATATTTTTTTTTGAATCATGTTCAGGTAGCTCCACCTTCTGTATCATAGTGAAAAAAGATGGCGTGCGGGTCGTGGTGATGCCTGAGGTATGAACACTTCCCCTATTTGTTAGGATCTGCCCTCTTCGTTCGCGACCAATTAGAAATCTCTCCACGACCCCCGCCATCATCCTTGTTTCAGCCTCTAGAATAATCTTCCAGCTGCATACAATCATGATGTAAGTCCTTTTAAGAACTTGAGAACATCCGTGGTCGGAAACCAAACCGAAAAAACCTATTAAAACAACCAAAAATCCGATTGAGGTCAGATTAAGCTATGACCTGATGGCAAATGTCACGTGACAAGATCGGCTCCATTTCTGACCCCGCGCTCCCTTGGGCAATTTCCAATCTTGATCCTTCGAAAAGCTTCAATTGGATTTGAATCCATCTATCGCCATGTATTCTCCGGGCTATAACAACCTCGGCCAAGTTGCCAAGCCTATTGGGATATTCAAACAATTTATCTCGAAGGAGCCACAAACCATTGTCCTAAGAGAAAAGGTCCTCTCCCTCTCCGGGGATAGCTTCAACATAAAATCGGTCAATGGAAAGCCACTTCTGAAAGTGCAAGGAGCCTGGGTATCGATTTCTGGTCGCAAGAGGGTCGAGGACGTCAATGGCAACCACTTGTTTGATATTGTCAAGGAGCTTCTACACCTTCATGCGACCTATGCAATTGAAAGTCCCCGTGGCGAGAAGATGTGCGAGGTCAGGAATAATATCAGAGGTAAGTACTATTCTTATGATCCTAGATCACAGAGCACAGTAGACTCCGTTTGTGATGCACATTTCTCACTGCACTAGTGTTCGGCTCCAAAGCCACCGCCAGCTTCACTGGTCTAAATGGCAAGACAGTGACTCTGGAAATGAAAGGGAGCTGGTTGGATTATACTGCCGATATTGTCGACAACAAAACTGGCTTGGCAGTTGCCCGCATTGATCGGAAACTGCTTAGCGGCCGCAACCTGTTGTTTGGCCAGCAGACTTATGCCGTTGTCGTGGCACCTGGCGTGGATGCAGCACTGGTCGCCGCCTTGTGCATTTGTTTTGATGAAAAGAACAACGAGAGACGTCGCAGATAGCAGTACTGGCATCTGGCCAGGGTTGCTGCCTGAGTGAGGCATGGAAATTATGGACCCAAGGCACCGCCACGATCTCTTTCCTTGAGTAGAGTCATCTACAGATTATGAGTCTCTTTCCTGCCCATAAAGACCACTCCCAACTTTCTGTTCTAAGTCCTTGGACCGATACACTCAAATATTGTCCAAGTTGCTCCTATTCGCGAAGCTCATAGGAGAAAAGATCTCTGATTAATGGCTATCGAGGAGGGTGAGGGAGGGAGATGCTTATTTTGCTCTGGCTCAGTTGAGGATCAGTGCAGCGGTCACGCCGACCAGAAGGCATCTCATCCATTCCTCACTCTGGAAATACACAATGATGCCTAAGCCACACGCTGGCGAGGCAGTAGTTGGGTGGGTGACCAGCAGCGAACTCTCAACATTACATGCTATTTGATTTTTGCCTCGGAGTGGATTGGCTCGATCACTCACGCTGGATATCATGCATTGGACACAGTAACTCCTAGAGGGCGAACGGGATAGATATGCTATAACTATATCTTGAGCGTGCCACCACATACACCTGGGCACGCTTCGATTGGAGGTAGAGTAGCCCCGTGAGCGGAGCTTTTATTATTTCGTGCACCAAGTAGTTATGCATGTACGCACTGTGTAGCTATGTGAGAGCATTGTATGTACTTTGGCGTCATCGCTTGTGGCTTGAATCATAAAACCCATCTTCTTCCTTGACATGGGAGATCATCCAAAGTTGGCCAATACCATAATCGTGCCAAAATTGTCCGATTTAATGCGTGCGCTTGTCTTCGACGTGGTCCACACAGGGAGCTGAGGACTATCTATACCGCAGATAGCATGGGTATGGCCGGAAGAGTGAGGCATTTAAAATATTATATCGCGCGTTAGGATCTGTCTCAAGATTAAGGAGCCACGTGGTTATTATCCGGTCCTCAAGAGAATAGCTAAAATTAAAAAAACTCAACGGCAACTTGAAAGACTAGAGCTCTCAGAATGCAAGACCTCCCCCCCCCAACCCTTCTTCGATGCATGGAATCAAAAATCTAATAGCGAAGCGGAATTGATCAGATATAGAACGGGATTAACTATATTAAAAAACTTAACTTCCTCCAAGTATACCCTCTTGCACGAATTAAAGCTTTTAAATCGGAGACTATTAAAAATAACTTTAGAGTAGCTAGTTTAGTACTATTTATACCTAACTAAGTGATATCGAAGCTTAATATTTGGCTTCGAACCCTAACCCACCTAGCTAGCCGGGGGAGTGAATTAAGCCGGAATTTTACCCTAAAAACCCCCTTTACGGAGAAAGAACTACGTCGTTAATGTCACGGTGCGAACCGTGATGCTTAGTTAGAGGAAGATCACGGCACGTGATCTCCGACCTGTTTATCTTGAACTTCAGTTCTAGATCCTGTTGTAGCTCTTCGAGCTACGTCTTGTATATTAGCCTGCCCCTGCCTGTGCCTGTACCTGTCAATGAGAATCTGATCTGTTACGACCTGTCCCTGCCAGTCATCTCCCATCATACCGTCCTGCCAGCCCGCACCCTGACAGTTAAGCTTCATTAATCAAAGCTTTACTTCGTATAAGATCTCGAAGCCCGCCTAGCCCGTTAGATCGTGCATTAAACTAGCTTACAAAAGGCTTCCGTCTTACAATGCAAGGTACTATCTTACTCGCTAAGGAACATAAGGATTTACGCGCCGCTAACGAGAAGTAGAAGTAAAAAGCGTACTAGATCCCGGAGGCAGATACCTACTAAAGAAGGCCTCTTATTTCTTAAAGTATCTCAATTAATTACTGAGCCGGTGAAAGCAATTAAAGCACCTCCCTCCCCTCCACGAAGAAGCCCTTCGCCGGCTTTATAACCACGTACGCGGGCCCCGCCAAAGTGTAGTGGTTGTGGAGAAACAGTACATAAGATTAATAGATGCCTAGCTAGATAGATTATTTCACTGAATTGAATTTAATGGCGTTATGGTGGAAATAAATACATTTTAAATAAAGAAGTTGGTTGGGGTGGCTAGCTCGGGGGTTTGGCCAGCTCGGTAGTGAAATACGTTACAGGGCTGTCGTGGTGCAATCTCGGTAGAAACATTACCTCCAATACGACAACAATGCATCTAAGACGTGCTTCCTTGCCGGGGATGGATCTCGCTAGGATCAATATTATTCGGGAAGTTACGCGTTCTAATGCGTCTTGGATATTCGAGGTGGATTTAAATGGACAAAAGTATACATTGAAGCTTTTCCATGATAACGGCGACCCTAGATATACCGAGCATAGTCGTGATCTAAACCGATTTCGCTATAAATTTAATATATATAAAAAGCTCTTCACTTCTAGTGTCTATAAACGTGGCTTCGTTCCAAAATTCTACGGCGATATCGATCGAGTGGATCTAGCGATATTCTACCCTACTATTCAGAATTTCGCGCACGATAAGTTACACTTAAGCGCCATAATGCTTAAATACCTCCTAAATTCAGAGAATTTAAACTATGTTAACTACTTGGATACGCTATATTCATAGGCAATTAAGGGCACAATGGAAATCCATAGGGCGGGCGTTCACTACCGAGATATCTACCTAAGAAATATACCCGTCATTCGTGAAAATCCTAATAGGCTGGTTTAGATTAACTTTCACGTTGCAACGACCTTCACCGACTTTGGGCCTGAACAGGTGGTCCGCTCTGACCATGAAATTTCACTTGTGAAGGGGCTTGGGGAATTATTGGTAAGGGTTCCGTTGCTGTCCAAATTGGAATTTGGCCTGCTAATTGACAGCGTAGAAAGAGGATCAAGCTGAGGGACTTCTCCCCAACACAAACCTTTATTGAGTGTCTTATTTACATCATGAAAATTATTGATGGCTTTAATGCGGTTCCTGTTACGGGGATGGGTTGGGCGTTGAGAGTTTATCCCTGCATTTTGAATCTTTCCCAGGCCATGTGACACGCCCAGTTTAGTGGCCGCCAATGCACGATGGTCGCTGAGCTAGCGGTATCAAATCCGAACTAGCTGTGTTAATGGTACTCCTCCTTGGCACTGTTAGGTTTGTGTCAGTAGCCGGTCGCAAAGCTGATAATGCAACGTGCAATCGCCCTTATGGCGGAGAAGGTTACATCTAAATTGTGGAGGCTGTGGCTGAGCCTTAACTCGCCGTAATTTTCAAGATTGATACATTGTTTCTACCTAGAGAAACCATATTCCACGCTCGTGGTACGCATCAGATGTCCGTTGGGGTATCTTCGTTGCAGTGTTTCTTGCTGATTGGCCCCTCTCTTCCTGCGAGGAGGAGAAATAAGCGGGACACAGATGTGACAACACTATTTTCCTCATTAGACACTACATCGACATTTCCTGTATGTTCTCCCCCTCAAGATATGACTGGCAGTTCCTTGACCTTTTAGGTCTCCTCGACATTTTGAATGCAGAATCCTGCGCGAATTGTGGATCGGGTTACAAAAAGCTTACCACCTCATCCCCTGTTGCATTCACGAGAAATCAATTTGGAGAACGGTCCGCTCCGATGCGAGATTTCTCCCTGAAACTGATGAGCAAATGGGAAACGAGGTGTGGTTGCAGAAACCGGGAAACATGAACTCAAATCACGGATAGGTGTGTTAACCAGGTGGAAGCGATTGCTTTCTCTATGTTGTAGGTGCAAATGAATCAGTGCTAGTCAGGCAATCTAAATCGCCGACAAATTCATATCACATCCGGACCAGGCCTCCGAGTGGAGCTTCCTGCACGACTGCATAGTCTCCACTCCACCATTAAATGTTGACGCACACAGCGAAGGCACAACTCTGTCGCTCGTAGTCATGTTGAGCGCAAACCCGCTTTACAAGACAAGCTTTCGGGTCAGAGTCACAGAAGCCGGTCTACCCGCAACCGACGAAACGGTGCCCCCGATGGCGATTTTTTACCGATGAAAGCCCTCGTGGGACATACTGGCAAAGAACGCTATTCAATCCTTTGATGCAAGGCACGGAGACACCGGAGAACCATTTGGGTGGAAACAGACTATGAATGCCATAGATCTTGCCTAGGTCAAATCATTGTCCTAGGCAAGATCGTTGTCGTAGGAGAAGATAGGCTCGAACACAGCTTCTTCTGTTTGGGACAATAAATTCAATTACCTGCCGTATCAGCTCGGCCGAGAATTACGCCAATGCATACACTCATCTGGTAATAAATATCGCGTTCTTTCAAATGCATACCGAGTGAAACTCATTGATCATAGGAGCTGTGAGACACATGTTGGTGCTAATTATTGATGACCAATGATTATGATTATTCGTAATACTAGCCAGAAAGAAACATCTGCATTTGCATTAGCGTAGTTCTCGGATTAGCTTGGCAGGGTGGTTCAGTGGCGTTTCCAAAAAGCAAGGTTCAGCCATCGATGATGTGAGTTGGTCCCCGGCTCCCGTCGGCCCGGATCGAACCTAAAAGCTCTACCATGGTCTTGTGTCTGGGTAGGTACCTAGGTACCTACGGTGTTGGTGGAATTCAACACTACCATCATCAGAATATCTTAACTGGATGTATCTTTTTCACAAGACTAGCCGCCGAGAAGCCAAGCAAGCTCCAGAAGTCGTATACAACTGTTCACAAGGAGATTCCTCATACCCCTGCCACAGAGAACTTGAAGTGGCCCGGATTTGCAATGTCGCTCGGAACACCTAGATAGGCACATGTGAAGTGTAGAACTCGGTGTTGCATTACTGATCGAGTTTTGACCATATTTTGGCCTCAGATAGCTTTTCTGTTGAGCTATGAGATACAAATCAAACCCTTGCATGTCCTTGCTCGTAATCTCCCTTCGGCGCATGGATAATATTCTCTTGGCTCTCGTTAACAGTGTCCTGCAGTAAGGTTGTCCCCATTCCCAAACTGAAAGTCTTCTTCCTGGCAACCCTGGGCTCGCTACCATTCATATCATGAAGTTCGTGAGATTTGTCGCCGGTCGATATCTTGTCGCGCGAATTTGTGCTGGATCCGAATCGACGGAAAATGGGCAGTGGTCTCAGAGAAGAGAGAGAGCCGGCGACAAGGCCCAAATTGAATTCAATGGCCATCCAGTATAAGGATGATGCTGATTTATCTGCGATTGATCGTCAGTATAACGTAGTCATGCAGTTAAGAAAAATTCAGAGTCGCATGTGCTTACAGCTGAGGTCAGTAGTGCCATTACGCAGATAATCCAATGTGCTGAAACGGACAACGGGAGAAATGCAGGCGATTATGCCTGCGGTTATAATTAGCATGCCTAAAGCTCTGTGACAGTGCGGTGTGTACAAACCTGATCCAAAGATAACCATCAAAGCCAGAATTTTCCTTGTAGGCATGTTCAGCCCGCAAAGAACCACTAGTGGTGCAATCAAGATGATGACATCGCAAAGGAAGATAAGAACCGCTTCGTACAATGTGATTTGAAACAGCTTGTACTGTGAGTAACATTTCGGATTCCTTATTGACAAGTCATATGCAGCCCTGTCATGCAGCTGGTTAGTATGTGTAGGTAGACACTCCTGGGCATCGGATTTTGGTTTACCGTGGGGGATCACATTGAAAGGCCAGAACGAAAGAACCGGTTACGGAGAATACCACTTGAAATATAATCAAGCCCATAGTGAGAAAATTCATCCAAGCTAGAAAGAGAGTAGTTTGTGGTTAGCGCCGGGTCATCCCAGCATCGGACTTTTGCGAAGGAAGCAAACGACTTACATTTGATGAAGATCCGTCGTAGGAATAACAGCAAGCTAATTTTAACGGACAGGGAGGCGTAGAGATACAGGCACATCGCCACATAATAGAGCTATAATTTCCAACGTCAGCAATGGGCGGCTTGGCAACGGAGGAGCTGTTGGAAACATACCTTGATCCACATTGCTCGATCTTCGGGTGAAAGCTTGTTGAAGTGTATCCCTTCTCCATAATATACAATAGCAATCCCGAGACCATTGAAGGCCTGTGTGATAATCTGGTGATTAACTCCGTCAGTCTTTACGGCCTATTTGTGGCTCCAATGAAAGGCGGGATTAGGGCATACTAATGCGACGCATACAGCGATATCATCCAGCCCAAATACCTTGATAACGAAGGCTCTTGTGTAAAGCTGCAGACAAAATAAGCTCACGTTCCATATTACACCGGGTTCCTCGTGTTTGTCAGGCCTTTCACCTGGGGCCTTACCCTTAAGCTGCAAACTATCATAGACAAGATTCCCGTGCTGGTAATTAGGCCGTAGATGAGCGACTGCATGTACCGCTCTTCCGCTGTCAGGCTTAGATCGGCTAGGGAGGTAGACATGGCAGGTATTAGAAAAGACGAAGGTTTCGTTGCATTCTAACTGCTGAAAACTTCAACTCGAGGACCAGGAAATGCGAATCTCTGGTTTAAGAACTAGACGAAGTGCTTTTATGAGATCAAAAAAGAAAACCTGTATTGTGACTGGTGTCCTTCAAATCAATTTTGGTACTTTTGTGCATTTCTCTCCAGCCGCACATGCGGATCGAAGAATTACATCATCTACTGACTCTAATGTCAACTTTTCACTTTCGTTTTAGACAAAATGACAGGTGCCGATCCTCATTTGTCTATCCCGGATAATCTCTGACTAGGCAAGCATCATTCACTACTATAAGTTGAGTGTAGCCGTTAGACCGGTGTGAAGAAATGAATGTGGGCGGGCCCCGCGAACTACCAAACAGGAGTTCGGCCTAAGCGTCCAGTGTCTACTGAATAGCCGCTCAAGGTGGGAATGAGCTATCTCATTAGCTGCATAATGAGCTGTTGCATTCTGAGCTATAGAATAGCAGATCTGGCGACGGCACAAGCCCTGGAAGAAAATACGAGCGACTTATGGGAGGAGTAACTTCTTTGGGAAGGTTTTTAGCAAAAGCCGACTAAGAAAAAGTACGAAAAACTAGGGCTCCTTGAAGAGTCGAGACCATCCAGATTGGTGTACGGAGTGTGTTGTACTCCGAAAAGCCCCATAACCCAACGCTCAGGCCCGTTTTGGTCAGAGCTCAACGGCCCTCTAAATAGGGCGAGTTTAGACCTTGCCCTTGGTGCTGCGTGTCAGCTTCAGGCCACATGCGCCTTTTGAAATCAATATGATGAATAACTGGATATAACCGGTCCCTGAGGTTTTTGAAACCAAAAAATTAGGATCCTCGCAAGCGAGGGTCCGTCCGCCTTCCACATGCCACCTGAATGCAACTCTTTTTTTGCCATTTCACTTTAATTCTAAAACCACACCACCCAAATTAGCTAGAAATAATCAATATCTGAGCAACTAGCAATCTAAGGATTTCAATTTCCTTCGTAAGTATAGAGTAATTAAAGCTAGATCTCTCGAGAACTACGCGCGGTTCCTAAAAATAGACATCGATGGCGCTAGAAATGTAGAAATTAAATAATCATGTTGCAGTAGTTACCACAACTTCCTCTAAATTTCTTTCATGACCTAATGTAGACATTGCCCCTCTTTACGTAAAACCTAAATTCGAGTTGTTGTATATAGATTTAGGGACCCCTCTAAATAGGGTCACGATTTAAAGCTTAACCTACTACGCGCCTAATACAAGAGATGTAACTACAAAGGCGTCCCTAAATCTTCCCCTTAAATTTATACAATGACATTAGAATAGCAGTAAAATATCGGTACTACACTTTACATCAAAGGTACTAATTTCAAATTGTCGAGAAAAAAACAAGCATTTATGTGTGTGCCTTTCGTTTAGTCTACCTTGTAGAAGATGCATTTACATTGGGAGGTGTTGCATCTGGGTGGCGGACCCTCGCTTGCGAGGGTCTGTAATTTGGTCACAAAAATGTAAGGGCCGGTTTCATGTTGTTGGTAGAACTAGTACACAATGGCATTGTTACTGGCTCGCAGCAAAGATCGGACTAGCGGTGCTCTTCCTCACCTTTTAGAGCAAAACCGGGCTGTGACGAATTCATCCAAACACGGTGAAACATTCGAGGTTGTCGAAGATAACGTGAAACAACACATAGTAGGGAATTTAGTGTAGGGCAGAATGACGAATTAACAAAGTTCGTTGTAAGGGGGGAACTTCGTTATTACTATTGCGGATTAAATGGACCCGATGTTGTCCCTTAAAACGGGGGGGTTACCGTACGTGCATTTACAACCGCGTGCTGTCAACGCTAATTGTCCCCACAGATGGGACGACTTCATCATAATACGCACACAACCTTTCACGTTGTCCACACTCTAGATTCTAGTCTTTTGTATGGCGTTCCCAAGCAGATAGTTCTTATGCGTGATTTTTCTGTACATTTTTCATTTTACCAGGGAAAATCGATGTGCATGTAAAATACCTGTATTCACATGGATATCCAAGTTGAAGATAATCGTAACCGTTATCAGTCATAGACCATTGACATGTTTGCATGCAGACCGCAGGTGGGGTTGGTAAGACGACCTTGGGAATCCGTGGCTCTCCCCCACTTTTCCTCAAAATGGCCGTCGGAATGTGAGACACAAAGGGTTGTTTCCGGCGCTATATATTGGTGTTACTCCGCGACTTGAGGAAACGACATCCTCCGCTGCCCTTTTCACTGTCCTACCTCTGACCAACTCTACTCATGGCGTCATCCAAGCAAGACATAAATCAGTTCAAAGTCCTCATAAGTGGTGGGAGTCTGGTGGGTCTTGGCCTAGCTCTAGCTTTGGAGCGTGCTGGAATCGAATACGAACTTTTTGAAAAGGGCGAAATTGCAACGCAACTAGGAGCCTCTATCGGAATTCATCCACACACTATCAGGATTTTACAGCAGCTAGGAGTATGGAGTGATATTGAGAAACAGGTTATACCTCTGCAGAGTCGAAACCATTATGACGCGAACGGCCATTGCTTTGAGGAGTCGCATGTCCTAGTCCAAATCAATGAAATGTAGGTCTAAAGATTGTTTGCTCCTTGCTTACGTCGAGTGGTGGAAATGGCGTCTGAAAGGGCTGGGCTAATATCATACCTTTTTGGGGGGATCACTGTACAGTCTTCAACGACCCATTATCTTCATGGAGCGATGCAAAACTTTGGAGGCGCTATACAGCCATGTGCAAAACAAATCAAAGGTGCATGCTCGAACTGCCGTCGTTGGATATGAAGAAACCGCACAGGGAGTTAGTGTCACAACCGAGGATGGCGAGCAGTACCACGGCCATATACTCATCGGCACGGACGGGATCCACAGCAACGTGAGAAAGCTGATGGCCGACAAAATCAGCGTGACTGATCAGTCTCTCGCCAAGGAAATCAACGAGGGTCGGTCCAACATTGCTCTTCTGCTTTAAAAGCCTTCTCACTTACGTTCTCCGGACTACAGCGTTCACAAGCGAGTATAACTGTATCTTTGCTGTCTCGAGGAATGATGCCGAAAATCAGTTCCTACCTGAGGCGATGGTCCACAATGTGTACTATGATAATTATTCTGCAGTTGCAGCTGCTGGTGTGCCTGGACTTGTGTTTTGGTTCCTTTTTGTCAAGGCTTCTAAACTCACAAGAACTCCCAACTGCCCGCGATTCACAGATGAGGATGCAGAGGCAACGATCCAAACATATGGAAGTGCCCTTGTAGGTCCTGGGTACACAGTGAAGGACCTCTGGGATGCTCGAGTAAAAGGCACATTGGTGCCCCTGGAAGAGGGTGTTCTCAAACAGTGGAGCCATAACCGGGTGGTTTTGATGGGTGATTCAGTTCACAAGGTTCTTATCTCCTGCAAAAGCCCAAGACAGGTAGTGACCACGTTATTTGACTAACCTTTCTTAATGTTGATAGTGCACAGTCAACCCTGGATTAGGCGGTAATCTCGCCTATGAAGGTATCGCTCGTTTGACCAACGGCCTCGTGCCTTTGCTGAGAGAGCACCCCATGCCATCTGTTGAGCAGTTGTCCGAGGTTTTTACGCAGTATATAAATGGCCAGAAACCTCGAGCAGAAAAAGTTGTTGAGCTTTCAGGTCAGATTACGCGGTATGAAGCCCAAGACACATGGGCTTTCAAATTTGCAGCCCGTCACATCGTTCCCTGGGTTAGTGACAGACTCAAGGCCAAACTATATGCCAGTTTCTCAAGAGGCGGTCCTTGTTTGGAGTATCTTCCACTGCCTGCGATGGATGCAGATCTAGCGAAGCCCGCTAAGAAGCCCAGACGCGGCATTTTCTCAAAGCTGATTCCAGTCATGATCATGAGCGGTGCTGCTGTTATTTTTTGGCAAATGCATAATCATGATCCCTTTCTCTCGTCGATCTCTGAATTTATGAGACAATGGGAGTAGCATGCGTCTTTCGCCATGAATGGTTTGAAAATGCCATTGGTTAGTGAGAGTGACGGAGGTACCATCATGCGGGCCATTTGGTACATCTGGTACGTCTCTCGACGCGGACCTGTTACTTTGAGGACAATCGGAATTTTTCACAAAATGTTATCCAATTCTAATTTAAGGGCTTCAACCTTTCTGTTAGATGTATGGCTGTTGTGATTCGATACTTCTCTATGCTCCATCAACCGTTCACCTGGCACTGCATTTAATCTTGGATTTTGATATTCCTTTTATCAAAAAATATCTCACGTTACCCAGAAATGATTGGAGACATGGAAAATGCAATAGGGAGAAATCGCTGGCCGTCACCTACCTAAAGTATATGTTATATTACCTGTGGCATGCGGGCGAGTGTCCACAAGTCAACAACATCTTCGCGACGAAATTCTCTCTGTGCGGGCCCAAGTGAAGCGTTATTCACAACCAGTGAAAAATCCATTCAAGATAAAACGTGTCAGAGAGTTGCTACTCAACGCCTACAGTGTGAAATTCTCCAATTTGCTGCAGCTTGGCAGTTCCGGATTTGGGTACTGTCTTCTTTGCTATGTTCTGACATGACCAGTCCGGTTCCGAAAGCAGACACCGGTACCCTGGAAGACAAGATAACAAGCTGCTACCATGCAAGCTATTGAATTTGAAAAATGACACCCTCATTGCAGACATGCAACCTCTTCGAACGGTATTTTCAAGTTCTGCGGATGTGTCTGTGTTATTCAACAACAGCGAGACATCCAATTCGAGCACCAAGAAAATCTTCAAGAAATTGGTAGCATTTGCGTGCCATAACACCCCGTCACCATAGCGCAGTCCCATTTCAAGCATCCCTTTAGCTATAACTTTGCTCCGGTCGGCCAGTTGACGATAGTAGAGTCAGATGGACTGCCAGGGAAAGTAACCGCAAGAAAGTCATCAAACTGGACTGTTCAGTCATTGATGAGAAGTTTCAGAGTTTTGAGACACATCTGGGGCTCTTTGGGGCCATACACAACTGCAATGCTGGGATCTATTTGGGCGACTCTTGAGCATGAAGGAAGTAGGTTGTACTTGTGAACGGTTGGGAAGAAAGGTCAGATATTAACGTGTGAAAGACAGCTTCCAATTTGACAAATATCCTTGCTTGATTATGCAATTTCCACCTTCTTCCTCCACACTATCACCACCTGGTCCCGCTCCCAGGGCTTGGGAGCGACCAGCCTCCACTCAGCCCAACCTTGGGAAACTCGGGCTTGGATCTTCTTGATAGGGTCATTCTGTTTGACCATCATAATTTACGCATATCTTCGTTGCAAAAATAAGTCCAGTAGCCCGTTTTTGACAGTCGTAACCGAATCTTTATTTCCTATTACAAACCAAAACATCGACCGTCCGGGTCAGCAATTTACAGAGAGGGGCTCAGCGGTTTCGCGATCTTGCGCTCCAAACATGACATGCAAATGCCCCACGTGCTATTGTTTTCGGATCCTCGACTGCCCGTGGAGCGTAAAATCCAGCGATTGTGGACGATACAATGGTTAGTTCTAAAGAATTAAGCTCAAGTGTTTCTTGGTGGGCCTCCATGAAAATGACCCCAGGTGAAATCAGTGAGGCAGAAGAGAGGGGCGGTACGAAAGTTCTCGCTATGAAAACCGATCTTGCAGATCACATTGCGTCTGTTGAATGTGATGGATCAAATTTTCTCGAAGTTTCGTTCCGACTCAGGCATTAGTTTCAATGCAATTAACAATTGACGAGAGTGGATAGCTTGATTTCGGGCATATAACCCTTAGTGCCTGGGTTGATTGAATCGCTGTCACCGAAATAATCTAGATAACCAAATTAGAATGTGCTATCAATTGTAAAGCCGACGATCCAATAGCTATTTGGCATGCATGGGGACTTGCTGCGTATCGTGGATGGCACCCGTCTCTCGGTCCCTCAAAGCCAAGTAGGGCCCGAGAATGATAACTCTGTCGGCCCACATCTTGAGCAGGATCAAGCCACGAGCTATAAATGTTAGTAATTTGTGCCATGGCCCACTAGCCGTTGCAGCGTGATGGGTCCAGGTCAGCATCCTGATGTTGTGGAAAGTGCAAAGATAGAAGCGCTAAACCCAAGGAACAGAATATTTCGCCAGAACAGCCCAAGAAGCAAGTGACTTCTTTTAGAGACAGGGCTCAGAGAGATTCAGAATGTAATTCTACTAGCTCGATGTTCATTGGCGGTGGAATCATTGACCCAAAATACACGCGTGGTGTCTTAAGCACGTGTTTCGAGGTGGTATCGCAGCAAGGTGTGAATGGGACACAGACACATCATTGTTGCGCGAAGCATATTTTTACATCCAACGGCAGAGTTCAAGCCAAATGAGTTTTTCTACCAAGAAATGTTAGCAAGGGACACAAATCATAGGTCAGGAACAGAACGACTCAAATAAAATTCCATCTGCTCATCATGATCCCCAGTTATATGTTGAAAGATTGTCTGCGAACTTTCTCAACCCAGACTATGTTCTCTCAACCCAGACTACGTTCTCTCAACCCAGACTACGTTCTCCCAACCCAGACTATGTTCCCTTAGAGCAAATGATGACTGGTGATTTCCGAGCAAACATCACATATGTTAGAAGATACGTCTAAAGGAATTTTGTTTCTGTTTGATTTGCTCCCTAAAGCTCTACAAATCTGTGCGCGACAGCCGATGGTTGGTGCTTCCGGGGCCACTGGTCATGAAGTTTTGGACCAAGCGAACAAGCCTGATGATCCCGGAACCCCCGACTCATCGCCCCTGGTCTCGAATAGGCTTGGATGTAGCGTTCGACGTAATCCTTGGTTACAAAATCTACGTGAACCCACTTCAAATTAACGAGCTAGGTTAGTAGGTTCCGCTCACGACAGCGAGTCAGAACGTCAGGTAATCTAGGGAGCGCGTTGAGAAAGAATTGCTAGAGACGTGTGTTGGTCGGGCGAGGCAACAGAAACTGAAAATGGGGCATAAAGCCGTGCACTGCCGCGTCCAGCATGCCGAGAGACTTAATTCTTGATTGAAATTGAGCGACCCAAGTACGAGCACTTGATGGTACGGTCTTTCTTCCAAATTATTGTGAATAGCTTGGGCCATTAGCTCACGTTTGCAGAGTATCATGGCCGTAAAGGGGAGGACGCGAATCAGCTAAGCCCGGTGGGTCCACAGCGGGAACCGGAAATTGGGTTGAAAAGGGAGTGAAAAAGATATCCTTAAGCGCCTCTACTCTTTGTGGCCAGCCTGGAAAGAGAATCAAAGGGGGACATTGGCCGCCAACTATGGCTCGGACTCGGTGGGGAGGAGAAGTATGACTTGCCATTTTGGTGTCACGATGTTGAATCCGCCGGGTTGAGTGTGCGGACGAAGGCGTCGCCTAATTATTGTGTGCTCTGGGTGGACCACTGATAAACGGGTTAAGGGAAGGCGATTGACTTTGGATTTGTTGTCACCAGGGTTAAAAGCACGGGAGAGTGAATATGAAGGCCCCGTTTTCCACACGTCAGGGCTGTATGTATCATATTCCTTGCGAGAAAGGATTACAGGATGTTAAGCGGGAGGGTGGGAAAAGAGGGGTGTGTACGGAGTAGATGGGGCGTGGTGTGAACCATCCTCAGTCCCACGACCGCTCCACCTAAAATGCAGCATAAAATCATTGGATGCCATGACCGGTGTGTAAGAATGGTCAATGATGCTTGTCTATGACTTTTAAATAATTCAGTCAATCTCAGAGGAACATCTTATCTGAATGTATAAATTGGCTGTTGTTTAGTTGAAACGACTCTCGCATCATACGATGGCTTCAGCTCCATTTCGGTGGGGTTCCTGAGGCCCCGAGGTCTTGCGCCCTGCGCCCTGCTGACTCATCGGAACTTGGCCTCAGGGGCCCGCTCTTGACCGTGCTCGAAATTCTGAAGCTCCAGTCCATTGGAGTCCTTTGAATAATTCAATTGTTTAACTATCATGGCTGAACATCCTTCCTTTACCCTTGCCGCCCTTCGTAAGTTCTGCGCTCAGCGACACATGTGGCTCAAATTTTCTGACCCAAACCAGTGCCCCTTGGAGGTACCGTTGGGTTTCTGCGAACCCGATCAGCGCCTTCCTTGATTGCCGGTGTTGGACTCGGCGTATCATATGCCTATTCAGGTAAGTGTCAACTCCACTGTGGGTATTCCAAAAGGATCCACAAACTCACCAAGTTGACAGGCTACTTGATCAAGGAGAACAAGGACTACGGCACCGAGCTCGCCCTGGGAAATAGCATTCTTCTGGGCTCTGCAGTCCCTAGGATCATTAAGACAAAGGCCAGAGCCGCTATGCCTCTGGCTCTAGGTGCCACTGGGTTGTTGGCATCTTTCTACTATCAGAAGAAGGTTCGGGAGTTCCGCTTCGGAGTCTAGACTCTACCTTTTCATAGAGATTCCTCCACCAATAGCATAAACGCGCTGAGCATATGGAGTGCTCCGTATGTTGTAAGTAGAAGTAATTTATCTCGTAGCTTGTGTAAACGAAAATGGCTGTACGGAGTAGTGGGAATCAAGTTGACCGCTCAAATATACTTCACATACCAAAATGTGTGGATTTCATCACAGTTTCAGATACATATCCATCATGCCTGTTTTAATGTAGTTCCTTATGAACCCTCTGAGGCTTTCAGAGGTAATTTTTAGCAAGAGCGGAAGCGCACGGAATCGTCTGTCCACATTGTGGGTGCCTGTTTGCTACTGTCTATACTGGTGGGATTCACCCACCCCCACACAAAATTTTTAGCTTATTAATAGCGTAGTATCTAGTTCAGTATTTTATACCGATGCTGATAAATTTGACGTTAGGACGATAGGTCTCTTGCGCCCCGAACTTCAGTGAAATCCTATCATCTAGCTCGTATGCTCTGAATGGATAAATTTAGGCAATTAAATAACATGGAAGAGAGCAACTCAAGGAGTCGGACTAGTTTGATAGAATGCAAAACACAGGCTCAATACTTGAGACTAAGATTTATCAGGGAAAACTAGGCAGATCCCTGCGCCACAGGAGAAAGTAGGTGGGTGAAACCCACAGGTATGCTCCGTAGACCGTGTTGGCTCGAGAGTACAGAGTAGAACTCTTCTCTTTCGCAGCCGGAATTAAATAAAAAGTTCACCATTCCGACTACAAAATGGTCCTTTTCGTCTGTTCATTTTTTCTGGAAAAGGAGGACCAATGTCGTATAGCACTCATGACTTAATGTAATTAAGTGTTTAATCTCTAGATCACTGTTAAAGTACAAATTCATCTCTTAGGGTGATCTAATTAAAAAGAAAACCCCCTTAGTGGAGGTTAGTCCGCTTCAGAATACTTCGCATTGTTCTTCTGCGGCCCGAGGCTAGCTACTAGCGCCGCGCTTCCTTGGATAATCCGGGGTCTCCTACGAGAAAAGATGGAGCATCTATGGTCAAAAAATGTTCTTTGAAAACTTCTAAATACATGGAAACTTGTTGGGATTTGATGTCTCAAAGCCTCTCGCCCCCAGTGGTGTTTATGGCCCGGATCGCAACGGCCCCAGTTCCCATCCACAGTATCTTGCCCTTTGCCTCCGCTAAATTAAATACCTGAACTCATTCCTCAAATCTTAGGCCGTTGAGGACAGAAATGTCATTGAAATCCGATGCTACCTAATCTGATCGACACAAGTCAGTATAATAGCTTTCGCAGGCGTATCTCGGGGACCAAATACCTAGTCGGTGTAGCAAGGAGTGCGACCCTGAGCAGTGAAGACAGAGGCACAGGCGAAAGAACCGCCAGCATTGCACTTGGCTGGGGTGTCTTCACCGTGCTGGAGGATACGGCTAGCGCCAGCACAGAGTCTTGTGCAGTCGTAGTCATCGCCAGTCTCCTCGTTCTGTGGCATTTGTTAGTTCGCAGAGCGATCAAAATCATCGAAAAACTTACGGATCCGTAGAGACAGCAGTGAGAACGATCAGGGAACAGACACTCGCACTGCTTGGAGCCTCCGCAGGTAGCGGCCAAGCCAACGCCGGCAGTGGCAAGCATGATCAAAACGCTGGAAACCTTCATTTTGGAGATTGGAGCTTGAAGAGATGAAGATGTGTGAGAAACTTGGAGGTGATGATCTGTGTCTTTGGAGTATATTTCGCGGCCATCTTGCTCTATTTATGTAGTAATGCTCACAGGCTCTGTCCCCATCCGAATAGCAGTTATCATTTCTCCGATATCTCTCCGATAGAGTTTGTCACGCAAATTAAAATAAGCTCGATAACGTTAACCAGATTGAATAAGGTAAGCTTGCGCAGATCAATTTGCTAGGAGAAAGAAGGTTTCACCCCGGAAATTAAGTTGGCTAAGGTACGGGCCCCCGATCAAGGCCGATACCGTGGTGAGACGTTAGCACTTCATTGCCAATTGGCACGGTGCAATGTTTCTGTCTGTAGGCCAAATGAAACACTGCAACAGTACTCCCATCTACTTCAGGCCAGATGAGTTTCTTGGCTTCCTTGGCTTTCTTCTTCTTCATAGATAAGCAATTACGGCCCGGTGGTCCACTCCATTGAGACATGTAATACAAATCCACGAAGGATTCAGGATCCTACTGCTGAACTTAAGCATGGACTCTCATGAGACATTTGACGAAAGTGTTGAGACAGATCAGATGACTTTAGGGTTTCTGCTCATACGTTTACATTATCACGTGTGGATAATCGTATGGCGTATTCTTTTCCATAATCGACTCCTCATCGTAATCACCAGAATATGAATCTTTCTCACGAACTTGGAAATTTCTTTCTGAGCGACAGCGGTGAGGACCTTCCGGACAATTAGACGATTTCCCCGGAAGTGAAAAAGCTTGTTAACCTCCACTCTTCAACAACGTGGTGTGATTATATTAATTGAAAAGTTTCGTCTCCCTTGTCTCAGTCGATCCAAGGGCATTTGTACGTTGTACTCCGTGCTTCATACTCCGTCCCTACCTAAATGCACAAATGCCTAGCCACGTGCCTGAACTGCTGGGCTGCGGGCCTTAGATTGTTAAACTTAAATTGCGGTAAAGTGACCGACACCTGGCTCGACGACAGTGCTTAGTCTGGATTCAACACTCTAACTCAAACTAACTCTCCAACTAAAAACGACAACCTTAAACCCGGCAGTTTCTAACAATTCCCACCTTTCCGATCGCCAAGCAAATGCCCGGATAATCACTTCCATTAAGCTCAACATAAAATTTTCCATTACGAGTGTCCATTTTTTCTCAATTGATGGAGAATTTAAATAGGATGTTGGACAGTTGTGGATAAATTTAATGTTATGACTTAACAGGGGTCAGGGGTAGAGTAACTGTAATAGGGCTAGCGCATTTTCAAAAGAGAGTTCGAGAAAGTATCGCTACATGAAGGACGACGTAAGCAAGGAGTGAAGCTGGTTGCAATCCATTCTGTACCAGAAACCCTTTAATGACAAAAGGGTGGAATGTTGGCTTATCTTTGAGACATTTACGAAGCCACAATTGTGATCCTTTGAAAGTCAGACGTTTTTCTTGAACTTGCCGATCAGCTACCCCTCAATCATTGAGTTTGCCACTCTTTTTTGCGTTGGCGTTTGAATGTCAGCTAAACAGACAAAGTGCAGTATGTTGAGTGACTGGTAATTATGGACTCCACCCAGCCTTAAACAGGCATCATTTGGGCCCGACGCTGCCATCGGGGGAGAACCTCCGGACATCTTTGCAAAATGAAATTAGAAAGAACTGCGTGAGATTACTACATGATGGTATGGATCACAGCAGAGAGAGAAACAGCGAAGGCAGGGCCTAACTACTAATTGCAGGTACTGCCACTATGCGATTGTCAAAGCCCATCCGACCAATACGCTAAATCGTCGGCAGCCAGCGAAGCCACACTCGGATAAGCCCATGCCTCGGGGTCAACGGATCCTGCCTCCTTTGCGGACTGCAAATAGTTGTGAAACTTGGCTGAAACCTCAGTCGACTCTCCGCCAAACGAGTGCAGTTCCTCAAGCCGATACCGTGGGTCACAGAGATGCCAGGTGACATACCCCTGGCAAAATGTGCTCAGTGTTTGCGAAATCCTTGGGTCCTTGTCACGAAATGCAGCGAGGAGCTGCTCCGAGTCCACGATCGTGTCAGTAGTTAAATTCTCAAGGGCCCCCTCCGGAGTAATCTTGTTGGACCAAGCGTAGTTGTCAACCAAGTTCGCCTGGTCACGCGGCTCATCAAACTCCTTGTAGAAAGAGAGCAGTCCAGTTACAGAGACCATCCAGTTTTCCATCTCCGCGATACCAGCCGTGATTTCCGAAAACAATTCGTTCTCATCGAATCTTTCTTTAGGGAAGATGGAGCTCCCAATGCATTGTCCCAGTGGGTTCATTCGTCGCAGAACGATTGGGTAGTTCAAGGATCCAGGGAATCCCATAAAGTTGTGCTGCTCAACCAAACATCGTTGGAAGACTTTGCAAGCCACGATGTCAGTAACGTGCGTGGTAGGGAAAGAGGACGAATACGAACAGTCTGCTGTTGATCGAATTAAAGTCAGCCCGCAGTAGGGACCATAGTGTCGAAGAACTAGGGGGAAGTGGTTATTAACCATCTGCCACCACGGGTGCTCCTGGGGTAAACCGGCGAGCATGGTGTTGTGAAACGACTCTAGGCTCTTTGCAGGGTTGTCGTCAGTGCTGTTGTCAAGGATGAGCACATATGTGAAGTGAATGCTCAGGTCCACCATGACATTTTCCGACACTGTGGCCCAGCCATAAACCACCATGGCAACCGTAACTTGGATCAAGGCTTGCAGATTGTTCGGACTCATTTTGATTTGCTTCTGTCTGTCATAATGAGCCAAGTGCTTGGCTGTGTTGGTATAAACATAGTGAAGCTTGGAAACACGCTCTTCGGCTGTATAATTTGTGTCGTAATACTCCATCGTATCCAAAAATCTAACGACAGAATTGAGATAGTCCTCAAAAGGGAAGGCTTGTCTCGTCATGATTATTGCTTGCTCAGAGTAAGAAGCCGATGCGGATGACAAGATTGCTTGAGCAGAGATGAGCAAGCAGGTGAATGGGACCCGGTTAGATATCAGCTTGGAAGACTTGAATAGCAAGCATTTTAAGTAGGCCCATTTGCGATCAAGCATCCATCACCTCCATCCATCTGTTATTGCAAATACCATATTCGCCAAGCAAATTAAACTAACGAACGTGGGATCTAATCGATGCATTCCCTAATTGAGCCTAGGGCGCGCTGTCTAGATGACAGCGGCCTGATGGGTAAAATTTGTTTGCCCGTATAAGATATTGGCAAAACTATAATGAATTTCAATGTAAAAGTACAAAACCTGAATTCCAAGGAATTCGAAAAAGAACATATGGGCATTAGAATTAGTACCATTGATTCGTCTCTTTTTTCTGAAAGATTCTAAATAAATACCTTGTTTTGATTGAGGCGCAAAAAATGGCGTTCATTTCTGCGCTTGGGCCATGGCGGTTCGTTTGGGAGTGTATCCTGCATAGATTTTCCTATAGTTCAGCCCAATTTGATTGGGGGACATTAGAGGATAAAAAACGTGCTTTAGGTAAATCAAACTCGCCATACCACTATAGAATTAATTGTCGCTTTGGCCTTCTGTACCGGGGCACCATGGCCCCGGGGGTAAAGTCTACCTACGAAAGTGCTAGGTATCATTGGAAATCTTCCACTATCTGCAGTCGATGTAAAAAGGGCGAATCGTAACGTAACCAGAAGCCCAGTCGTGGCATATCACCGAAGATGATGGCAGTGATTGTCATGGGCTGCCGTTTTGGGATACATGCATAATTTGATTCTCTTGCCATCGCCATGCATTTAATTTATTAAACAGTTGTGTTAGTATTCATCTCTGACTACAGTTGTTGTTTAGCAAACAAGAATGATTAATTATTGATATCAACGATGATCGCACCATGTGGGCAATGGTTCTACGATGTCATGTTGATCTCCTGAAACTTGGGAGTTTCATTGACAACAAACAGCATATCAATAACAACCTTGAGAATAAAACAGAAAGTTAACACAGTTTCAAGTAAGGATTCGCTGGTGGTTACCCGTCTGGGTGACCACTGCCCTAGTTTCGTGCGACTGGGGGGATGAGGATGATAGTGAGAAACAACCATAAGTCGTATTTTACCATTTCGACCGGTTCTGCACAACCGCCATTGGATTTGCTGAAGCTTAGAGTTATTATCAAATAGAAAACAGGCAGAGTCTCCAAATTGGGATATAGTTTTGCCACACTGCAGGCATTTGACTCAAAGGAGGACACATACCGACACACTCTCAGCCCCTCCCACAATATTGCTTCCCGGCCTTAGAATGCTAGGACCTCTTGTCGACCACTAAGGGATGAATTATCGCATTTGTGGGCAACAACTCTTAACTTCGCTTCTTCCCCAAGTAGGCTCCGCGGTAAATATCTAGCATTTTTTTGTGAGAACCTCTATCTAGCCAACCATCAGTGTATCACCAACATTTAACTAGCTATTCTTACCACAGAAGAGCTGCACTGATTTACTGAATAGGTTTTCCCGTACCATTTCGTCGGTTGTAGATGCACGGGAAAATTTCATTAGATCCACAAGCAACATGGGCATTTATGTAAATCTACATCGTTCTTCGTATGTAAATGTTATCCTACAGCACAGTTGGCCCTATTAAAAACACGTCTGCCTGGAGGGTCTGTTGATAAATCGCAAAATTTGCTGCACTTTGCTGAGGAGTGCAACTCGTTCAAATAGTTTCAAACGCACGTCCTATCTCTACCTGGGTTTGGCAAGATGCTTCCTACAGCGAGTGAAGCATTTGGCGCCCTGTACCGTCGTTTAAGACCCTTGAAAATGTACCCAGTATAGATAAAATCAAGTCAGCAACGGACGAACTTAAAAATGGGAGCAAAAATTGATATTGAAGCCTAGCCCATTCGCCCTCCTGCCCACTGATATTGAAAGTAATCCCGGTAAGGAAACTGTCGTAAGCAGAATCAAAAGCAGGTAGGTAGCCACCAAAAGCCAATTAACATTAACCATAGCTCACCTGTGCCTTCTTTAGGAAAGTTCAGTACAGATTCATGCATTTTCCCGCACATCCCTATTGAAATATCAAGTATAAATAGCTAGTGCTCAAGGACGAATTTATTCGGAGAGTGGCCCAAGGCAGTGCTTCGGAAACAAAGATCTTTCGACTCACCTTCTTAGCAGTACTATCTGATCGATGTGGGAAACCAGTGGAACTAGATCCGTTTATGGTATCCCTGAAATTCGCTTCCAAGGGTATACTGCGGCCCTGGCGCTGGACGGAGGGCCTTATTGTTTGTTTGCATCATGGACAACTGCCGTAGAAATAATTTAGTTGCGATGGTATCGAATCTGACTCTTCCTTTTCTGTTGAACGAAATACAGCGTGCTTTCCACTAGACCATAACAACAACCAAGGTTTCTGTTTATGGCCTAGGGAGGCCGTATTTGAGGTTTTGACATTTTCCAATGCCCTGCGCACAGCAATCTGTAAGTTATGTTTATATCTTTGAGGAGGATATCAAAGTCGTCTTGAGAATCAAATTAGAAAAGGCTTTCTTCTGTTTGAGGACCTATGTACTTTGGGCTGTAGGGAAACTGTTTTCTACTCAGGCCTCACCTGACTTGTAGAGCAGGCTCGTATCACGTTGTACGGTATGTGTATAATTCGTCCTAGTGGCGGAAACAAGCAATCCGTACAAGTATATGAAATACGAATGTAATTTACCATGACGCATAAAAACATCCCTCGGATCGTCAGGACGGCGCACGTGCCGGTACAACCCCGCCCGGAACGGAACCCCCGGATCGCCTTGAGCCACATTTTGCTCCAGAGCAAGGAGTCTCTCCGGTCTTCTGCATGGATAGACATCGGATGGACGGATGCATTTTGAAATGAGGATGTGTCTTACGATAGCCGCTTGTGGAAGGTAGGTATGCAGGCGAGCTACATGTCTGGCCGGGTTGCACAGCTTTGATATCATGACTCCAGACTGTGCCCTGATTAAAAAGGGCTACGCGAGTTGAAACTGACTGGGTCAAGGCTATAATTAGTGTACGGAGGTGAGCAGTCAGTTCAGGCTGTCTTTTAATTGCGGAGCGGATAAGGACACACTAGTCTTGTATCGATCACTGCCCGAAGTCGGAATTAGAAGCTCTACACTTGTGCGGTGATTTTTCATTGCCCGAGAGCATACGAAACTGCTTACAACGAGCTTTGATTGATTAAGTGAGATAGCAAAGAAAAAAGACCGCATATCTATAAGTCCCATTGATCGCCCAACTCTATTCACTCTGACTTCTAGATAGAAACCATAATCCAGTCTCTCCACCAGTGAGTCCATTCAGGCACTTTGAAATCTGTCACCTATCCTAGGCGTTCTCGGAAATTCTGACCATGTATTCTTAATTACCGCGCAATGGCCGACACTTCCGGATACTCTAAAATGACCTCTTGAAGTGAAGCGGGTGAAGTTTGACGAAGCCCAAACCCCAAAAAGGCAACGATGGTTCGGTGAACAATTTCAAATGCCTTGAGCCCATCCAAAGTTCCAACCATCGTTTGGATGGCCGGCATCTTTTGAATAGGTAGACCCAGAAGCTTCAACAGGAACGGCAAGTCAGAGAAGGTGTAATGTTGAGCCTTGGCCAGTTCCAGCTCTAATTTCCACCCCCGCACATTTGACCAAAACTCTTTCCACGTTGGGTCTGTTGTCTGGGTCTTATTTTCGTGACCGAACAAGAGGAATGGACCACGAAGTCCGTGTTGAACCACCGGTCCAAACATTGACCCGTCGAGGTTCACTCCGGCCACAATCCGTCGGTCCAAATGCATGGCTTCAGCCGTGGCCGCACCCCCGACAGAGTGACCGTACATCGCGACATCTCGGGTCTTTAACCCCACCGCTCCTGCTCCAGGGAGTAGAGCTGCCATACCAGCCTTTGTGCTCAGCTGATCCAAGACGAAAGACACATCTCGCGCTCGCGTCTTGACATCCAGTGGAACCTGCGCATCACTGATGTTCGCGGCAGTAATGACGCTTCCGTCAGGGAACTCCAGGAACTCTGTATCATAGGGGTGGTCAATAGACACCACGACGTACCCGGCACTAGCCACAGCCTGTGCAAGGGCATTGTAGAACAGCCGTGTAGTGCCGAGAGCAGGCGAAAAGAGCACAACAGGAAAGTGGAGATATTGCTCTTTTGGGGGCTCTGGGCATGCCTGAAAAGAGATGGATTGAATAGACCCATTGGGAAGTCCGTATGCACCGTAGAGGTCTGAGTAGTATGCGGCTGTTGCGGGGGGCAGGTAATCGATCTTCTTGAGATCGACTTCGCAGATGGTTGGAGCAAATATGGAAGTCATAACTGCACGCGGTCTGTGTTTGGGATCGAACGGATCGACTCTACTTTTTTCGATCATTTTTGCTGTGTTGTAAAACACATCATATTGTCCGGGTGGGTTGGGGATCATCACTGCAGAGGCAGACATGGCCACAATGGACAGCAGGCGAAGAAGGCGAACCATCATCAATCACTAGAAGATGAAGTGTAGGATGAAAAAAGGTTAGGAATGAAATATTTAGAATCTTGCTGGAGCAGATCATGGGATTCCAACAGAATGGTAGGAGAAATGCTGTGACCTTTATATCGCTAGTGAGGGAGGTTTAATAAAGGTAGACCTGGATTCTGCCTACTGCCTACTAATAAGGCACCCATAGCAACTTTTCTCGCTACCGTGATAAATGAATCTCCAGAATAGGAAAATACAGAGCGTTAGTTCAACCGGGGCAACCCTGGAAAACAGATCGACACAAGTCGCCAAGAACAATCTTGGAACCTTCCAAAGTGGGTCCTTGTCTCGCGACATTACTTCCTGATCAGGTTAGCGCAATCTGGCACGTCGGATCCTGCTGGAGGACAAGCCAGGTTCCGCTCTAATATATCCATTTTCATCGTAGTACTCATCAGAGAAACGCGCAACTTTTGAATTGGTTGGAGATTTCCCCAAGATCATGTCTGCACAAACAACGTTACAGGGGAGAATGGTTGGCCCCCTGGATAAGCGAAGGCGGATGAGGCGCTGCCTCGGCTGCGCGAAACGACGCATCAAGGTCTGAGATGTAGAACTCCGATTCCATGAGATGAGTGCAGCTGACTCCTAGCAGTGTGAGGGGGGATTTCCGTGTGTTCTTTGCATTCGACAAAATACGATGTGCATTGCCCAACAGCAATCGGGATGTGGTGTGACTATATTTGTCAACAAAACCCAGCAAGATGATTTTGGTGGCAGGCACCGAATTTCCGATCAAAGGAGCATGGCTATTAATAATGAGCACAGCCTTGGAATTCACCCACTTACCTTTATTGGGAAAGATAAGGAGACACATCTTCTTGACTGTTTTGTATCTTTCGTTGAGAAGAACATGTTCACCATAAGCTTCTCGTCAATAGTTCCGGACCTGCTTCCTCTAATATCAACTTCTCCAGTCCTGTATCATGCAGTGATAGCGGTTGGTGCTTTGAATGCGAACAGGCATGCCGGTGGGCATGCATTACCGGCAGACGCACACCCCTATGTGGATGCCATGACCTCTTACCATAGGTCGATGGGTATCTTGCGATCGTGTCTGGTAAATCAAAATGTGATGCAAGAGGAGGACATTCTCTGGGCTACATTCTTCCTAGGCCTATTTGAGGTATGCTTGTCACCAAAGGATATCCTCCTTCGGAAGCACAAAGTTCATGCTCGGCTGACATAAATACATACACATAGTTACTCTCTGACGATTCAGGCGAAGGATGGGTTAAGCATATGCTCTATGGAACATCAAAAATGCTTCAGCTTGCAGGGCCAAGCGACTGCATGTCATCGGCTAAAAGGACATTCTACGACCTGTTTCGTGTCCTAGAGGCCAGCCGAGCATTACTCTATAATGAAGACACAATACTCTCTCAGGACTCTTGGCTTGGACTACAGAGATCCATTTCGAGCAATGCCACTCGGTGGGATCCCATGGAAGAAATTATAACGCTCATGATTGAGACATCCGCATTCAGCCTTCGGTAAGTCGACGCCAACAAACGGGCTATTTGTACGATTTTAATGGACCTAATAACAGAGCCGGTGCTATAATCGAGACAATTCCTTTGGCAGAACGGGTAACGAATTCATCAGTTGCTCTGATTGCAGCTGAAGGACTCGATGTCCAAGGAAGTATCTACAACTGGCACACGAAGATGTTATTGCAACTGGTGCAGGATGGTCCTGATCCATATTCAAACTTGGCTTTGCTGTATTATCATGCACTGCTGATTTTTCTCTCTGGAAACTATGATTATTTTCCATACTGGGAAAATATCCCAGCACCGGTCTTGTCTCCTACTGATATTGCCGAACACCTCACTACGATCCTGTACCTCTCCAGCGAGGTTTTGCGCCACTCTAAGATTCCAGGAGTGATGCTGTTTTTTCCGATGACAGTTGCGGGAGCTCGAGTCCGGACAGCTGATCAAAAATCAGAAATACTGAGTCTGCTCAATCTGGTTTTCAGTAAAGGATTTGTGGTCGCAAACAGACTACGGGATGGTTTGTTGGAACGGTGGGCCAAGAGCAATTAGGAAAAGACAAGTCATCTAGTCAAACGTTACACCTCAATCCCCGTGGGGAATTGATTTTTTTCGCTGTAGTTTTATTGTTAGGTAATTCGGTAATAATTTAACACTATTAAAGCAGCTAAACCGCTTGACCATCTAACACTATTCAACCTGAGTCATGTTCGTAATGCTACCGACTCAGGTCTTCTTCCGTGTTTGTCAGTTCTGCTACGAATGTAGGACTCAAGAATCCCAATGCTCCAAACGATGCCAACTCGTACCAAATTGCCTGTATGCGGTATGGAATGGCATCACCAACTACATGTCCAGAAGCTACAATTTTGCATTATTATTGGAACTGATAAGAATAGATAATTGTAGGTGAATTTGATTACTCGGACATATAGTGTGGTATTTATTCTGATATGCACGGGTTGGCTAGATAGTCTATCGTTGGCAATTATCGAAAAGCTGTAACTAGACATCAAATAGTTGTTGTTGAAACAAATCACCTATAGCTAACACAATCTATATAGTTAAATGTATCCAGATGAAGGGGAAAAATAATACCGAAAATGGAAAGGAGAAATCAAAAGCCCGGTCTATCGCAACTCCGAAAAAGATTTGCTCACAAAAATATACCATCAGGTTGAATCTTAACGAATGAAAAGATCGCAAAGATCTGACCTTTGCCGTTTCTGCCGTAATTGTGTGCTTGGTGGGTTACCGCACATTGCATGAAAGGCATCAAGTCGCGAGAGATGATCAATTCAGGGTAGCGTGATAGTCGGCAAGAATAGCTTCCGAGATCTTCTGAGCCATTCCGTAAAAAACGGTCATCACATGAGAGGACACCTGAGTTGGAGGAATTGAGCCGTCAATTACACGCAGACCTTCAACGTCATAGACACGAGCAGCGGCGTCCACGACGCCGCCAAGTGCTTTCGCCATCATGGAACAAGTGCCAACCCCGTGATAGTTGGGACGGAAATTCTGCTTGACATAGTCCACCCACTGATCAAGAGTGGCGTTGTATGCCAGGTTATTTCCGGGAAGGGCCTCGCCGTTGAAATACTTCGTCATTTCGCCAGTGTTAGAAATCTCACGAGCCAACTTGGAGGCTGCCGCCTGACCGAGCAGATCAAGCTCATTTAGGAAAAATTGAGGGTCATATGCAAAGCGACCGAGATAGGGGTCACTATCTAGGATGTGCACGTATCCACGGGTGAAAGGAATCAGGTCCCACAGATCCATGCTCAGCTTGCCAGCGGTATCAATGAAAATTTCAGCGAAAGAAATGTCTTCATTAACCAGCCAGTCGCGGTAATTCTCGTATTGTACCAGGAGCGCGGTTGCGTTGTGGAAGCCACCACGGGAGACAACGTCTGTGGCCCACTCTTCAAGTTTGGTGTTTAGGAGGTCGTGAGCGCGAGGTGCCTGGTCTCCGAAGGTTTCATTGAAGGTGGCAAAATAGGCAGCCTGGCCCTGGCCCGCACCAAGGGAGTTGATGTTAGAGTGAACTGTCGTGGTAGTTTGATCTTGGAGATTAAGACCGACGGGCAGATCAACGAGCTGTTCAACGCCGACGTTGTCGAGAACATCCTTCAAGCCAATACCAGAATGCTCAAGAATCTGTGGAGAGACAGCGGATCCAGCCGCTAGAAGTACCTCACGACGAGCATGGACATCAAAATTGACTTTTTCATGGGTGCCGAAGTTGACACCAACAGCTTTCGGGGTGGAGGTTGTGGTGTCGAATAAAACCTTCCCAACCATTTGACCAGTCAAGACCTTCAGATTGGATCGCTGGTAGTTAGGAAGAAGCCACTCGCGGGCGGCGTCGGATCGAGTTTGATCTTCGTGTAAATCGTTGGGGAACATCGATATACCGTGAGGGACGCCGCAGCCCAGATCCTTTTGAACGGGAACACCGGACTTTTCCACAGTATTCATAAGACTTTTGATCATGGGTGAGAAGTTCTCTCCGGTGTCTCGGGGGCCGACATGGACGGTTCCGTCCGTGCCATGGCAGGAAGGATCAAAGTTATGCCCAGCAGCAATCTGCTCGGCATTCGGTGGACGAGCGGCCTCAATTTTCTTCATGTAGGGGAGCAGACTGTCCCAGTTCCATCCTTCCATTCCAAACACACCTTCCCAGGAATCAACCTGTGCCTTGTGTGGACGTGTCCAGGAACCTCCATTGACCAAGGTTGACCCTCCCAGTCCTTTGCCTGATCGAATAATCTCCGTGCGGTTGTGAATGGCAAGTGGAATCGTTTCGAAGGCTTGATCGACGGAGGTACCAAAGATATCACCATAGTGGTTGAGATCTTCAATGATAGGACCGATGTTCGATTCGTAGAAGCCTCTCTCGATGACGAGGACTGTGATGTTGGGGTTCTCCGTGAGACGTGCTGCGACAGTCAGGCCAGTCAAACCTCCACCAGCAATGACATAGTCAAAGGTTGTACCGGCAACCTTTGTTGGGTCGGTGAGCAGGCTCGACTGCAGGTCTAATTGCCTCTCTGGAAGGGCCGTGGCCACGACAACGAATCCTGACAGAAGCCCGAGAAACCTCATCTCTGAAGGGGTGTTTGGACAATTGAAGACAAAGATTGAAGCCTTGAGAAGTAAGGATGGGAGCGCTGTTGGATACAAGAAAGCAAAGCTATCTGGCGTGGGATTAGGACATATTTATATCTTCATCCACCCGACTATAGTCACTTATGTGGCCTTGTATCCGAGTACTGCATGGCACACACTTGGCCAAATCCATAGACTCTCAGGTATCTAAGCAGTACAGCATGCTAATAACATTTGTCACTACTGATACAAAATTCGTATTTCACATTTGTGAGATCAAGATCTTGGCGCCCAGAAGTGTATTGGGATATGTAGAGGAAGTATACCAAAGCGGGAGGGAACCTTATTCACCCAAGGACTCTATGTGTTGATCATATATGTTGATCGTCTTGGCGAAAGGAGTATTTGAACCCAATTGCGCATGCTCAATCCTTCCGTTTGCCTATCTTGGCCACTCTTGGGAATCTTTGTATTTGTCACAGGCATATAGTCTTCATCCCGTACAGATGTTGTATGGTCTCGATCACGGAAACAGGCTGTCGGCTTACCGAGACACTCCCGGTATGCCGATCAGTGATAACGTATTTCACAAACTAGTGGACCGACTCAAAACACGTAGCAAATGCCAAAGTGCAACTTGGACATGTCAACAACGGTGGTCTACATTGGGATTTCATATTGCCTTGACGCTTGTCAGGTGATACACAACCTTTCCAAGGAGCTTTAAAAGTTCTTGTAATCTAAGGATTGGACTACATATGTCTAGTTGTAAGCAACGTTTACTTTTAGGCAGTTTTAGAAATGAAGGCCTTCAGCCCTTCTGCCCTCTTTGAGATTTATATACACTGCTGATTAGTCTCATCACTGGCTACGTAATGACAATGAAATCAAACCTAACATGTTTGATGAGATATGTACGGAGTATAAGGAGGTAAAAGCCGCACTTATTATAGCATCTTGGGTGGTCCACTCGCTTGTGAAATACGCTGTAGTCAAGGCTGACAACGTTCTGGCTTATAAATGATGTCTACCTTGCGGAAAGGGCATGCATGTCTTGGTGGTTCGACCAATCTCGTTTTCTAAACTTGAAATTGTGGGGCACTCAACTGGGACTCCACCAGTTATAGCCCCAACCAGCTAGGTGCCTTGCGGTGACTCGTGTTCCTGAAGAACTTCGGACCGAGTACTCCGTAGTCCTTACCGCTAACGACCTCCCGGTCAGCGGTTGCAGATCAATCTTGGAATCCACATTGCTGACGACTGACGTGAAACAACTCTAGAATTCACATGCTTTGAAATGGATTTCAGTCGACGAACTACCCCTTATCCCGGTGACAAAAATGAGAACCTAGACCAGTCTTTTTAACAGGAATCCAAGAACAGCCAAGAAACTTAATCCGAGGTGGCTTAGCAGGGTACTCCGGGTATGTACTAGCTTGCCCTTGGTTTTATAAGCTCTTTCTTCCTCGCAATTTCCTTTTCCTCCTTCTCGTTTTACAATCCACACCAGATTTCCAAAATGCGGCTTGTTCTTCTGTCTCCAGTTTTGTTCGGTGCCGCCTCCGTGGCTACCAAAATATATGCAGCCTCTTATTCCGGCACCGTGACTACTCTGTCGCCACAGAAGTCGAATGGAAGTTACGAGCTGTCAATTGTCGCTCAGACAAAAGACTGTGGGATCAGTCCATCGTGGTTGACGTTGGATGCTGACCACAACTTGATGCTCTGCCTCAATGAAGCAATCGGGGGTTCAAATGGGAGTCTCACCTCGTTCAGAGTCAACCCCAATGGGTCCCTGACTACGCTGGATGTCCTTGAGACCATTACTGGCCCAGTCATGTCGGCTATCTATACTATTCCTAGCCAGCCTGAACGGCGTTTCGTTGCTGTCGCACACTAGTAAGTACCACCTGAAGAGCGTGAAGAATCCGTTGTTTAACTCCATGCTGATGTGACTCCTATGATTTTAGCGAAGGCTCCGCTGTCACAGCCTACACACTGGACCCAGCATCCGGTTCTCTAAATCAAATTCAAGAGTTCACCTACAAGCTTACTGCTCCTGGCACAGTACCCGACCGACAAGATGCCTCTCATCCACATGGAACCATCGTTGATCCGACGGGACGTTTCGTTCTGGCTCCTGACTTGGGCATGGATCAAATCCATGTCTTCAAGATTTCTCCTTCAAGTGGCCTTCTGCAACCCCAAAAGCCTTTGCTGGTGAAACCTGGATCAGGGCCACGACACGCTGTGTTTTGGACACCCAAGCCCAATGTTGCCTCAACTGATGACACATACTTGTACCTTGTCTCCGAATTGGGCAATTCATTGACTGCATTCAAGGTTCAATATTCTCACCATGGCCTGAGCTTTGTTAAGGTTCACGAGGAGAGCACTTACGGTGGAAATGCTGCCCCAAGTGGCTCTAAGGCCTCAGGAATTCAGATTTCGGTATGTCCAACCCCACCTTTTGACCTTCAAGGTAGACAGAAGAAGAGACCTTTATCTGACAACACTTTATCTCAAGCCTGAGAATGATCGTATTGTGGTCTCCAACCGCGGCGATGACACTTTCGGCAAGGACGGTGACTCTTTTGCTGTCTTCACTTGCGTCAACACCCGCGGAAGCCTTGACAATAAGTTCTCATTCGTCGGCTTGTATCCAGCTTACGGTTCGTTCCCCCGTGAATTCACCATTAATAACCAAGGCGGAGAGATCGCGGTGGCGTTGCAAAACAGCCACGAGGTGTCTTTGGTTCAGTGGGATGAACAGAAGAAGAACCCCGGAAAGCTTCTCTCTAAAGTGAAGTTGGATGGGGAGATTCCTGCTGCAATCTGGGGCCCCTGAGTGCAATCAGTCTGCTAGAATAGTTCTGGCGCTGGGAATCAACAATCGTTGGTTTAAATTTTTTTTTTCCAGATTTGAACACGATCCACAATTTTGACCTCGAGGACACAAATTTGTCAATGAATGAAATGGGATAACGATAGTTGTGCGATCTGGCTAGTTTATAACTGAAATTCAAATAACTTTTACTACCGCAAGATTGTTTCAGATGTATCCCACTCAGCATGTTCGACAAGAAGTTGGCCGAGGTTGAAGCCAGTGGATTGAGTGATGCATCTACTTGTGGTGTTGTCAGGACTACACGAGGAATTTCCGCGGCGGATGTTGCGGACCGGCATGCTGTTGCCACATGGTCATTCTTTGTTTGCATTCTTTGTTCTCATTCGGGGATGTTGATGGGGTTGGATGGTTTGTCGGGCTCTTTCTCCCCACTTCTATGCTATAGCATTCTGAGTTGACCGTACCTTTGTTTAGATACCACATTGCCGTCAATTATGTATCCACAAGTTCCAGGAGATAGCCAAATTATACGCTACCGCCACGTCGACCAGCGAGAATGATGGGTCCACGGTGGACGACTCTTGCGTCTCGAGGGTCCGCTTCATGGACCCGACTGCTCGACTGAAGTCTCGTCGGCGTTGAAGAAAGCCTGAGTCCACTCCCATAGACAATTCAACCAGCGATTTTATCTCCACTACTACTACGGCTTCTGGGGCTCGCAGACTTCGATTAACGCTCCTACCTTGAATGCGACTATGCTGCTCGCTACTGCTGAGGATAAGGTTCTAACTGGTGCAGCATTTTCTGCTACCCCTTTGATGCTGTGAATCAAAGTGATCCTTTTGAAGTCTTGGCCCTCATTTCTGTTTCAGGTCTGGAAGACGCCGGACGCTTGGCACAGAGGAGTGCTCGCTCTATGATAAACCAAAAATTTGGTCAAGCTATCAGAACCCAAAGTTTGATATAGTGGCAGGGAAAATTTTTACAGTGAATGAAAGATGCAAATAACTAAACAAGGAGAGGGAGGGTGCGCGACACTCCAGGGCTATGTCTGCAGATGCCAAGACCTTCAGCCTTGGCATAGGGCGGCCGAGGACACTGACAGCCAACCGCAGTTTTCTGAGCTAAGCACTAGCACTAAGCTAGCGTCTTGGCATTTCTCATGGTCATCTAATTGGCCTCAGCGGAGAAACTTCATGCAGCTCCACTTTTGGACTTCATTTTACTTCTCTCTTCCCACAACACAAGCAGTAAGCCCGTCGAAAAAGTAGAATAAATTGTTGACGAAAATTTTTATACAGTTGCTGACGCCTTACCTTGGCTATTTTGGCATCGGAGTACAGATCCTGAACTCACTACAACAACGGTGAACTCGGTCCCTAGGTATCTGTGACTGGTCGGAGGAACTCGTGGGGACTGAGTTGCCATAGTATACCCAAGGATTTGCCGGTGAGAGGGATCTCGCACGGTTTCGCGTCGAAGGTTATTTGGAGAATTTCAATATGCAGAAATGCGGATCCTGTATGGAGTTGCGGTATGAGAACGGCTAGGACTTGATCGTTCACCATCAGCTTCTATTGTCTCAGATGTTCAACAGATCTTTAGACTATGTACAACATTACGTGCAACCCGTTAATAAACATTAAGCAAACCACTGTGGTCTTTAACGACACTGCAGAAAGAGATATTGTCGGAGGATACGTGCTTAGCGAATCAACGCGCGCCCACGACTGTAATTACACCAACTTCAATAACAACCAGCTTGCCGAACTAGCCAGGCGACAGGTCATTATTTGAATTATCATTGGATCCGTGACTGATCTTCTACAGGAACCAGTGGGACCGATTGAGTTTGGGGTCTTCCAATGGTGTTCATTGATCACCGGAAGAAGCTGTACGAAGTACTCCGGTGCTGATTGATGTCCTTTTGATGCTTTGAAAACTAGCTCGGTGCTTTAGTTGCTGATGTTGCTATATTTCTCAATAGTTCGAAACTTTTGTTCAGATTATATACATTCGAGAAAGGCTTCTATGGCCGAGAAAAAGTTGGTTCATTGAGGCAAACTAGACTTCCGCAAAGCTCGAAAAGCTCGAAACCCGACCCGACTCGACCCTCAAAAGGGTACGGGTTTCGAGCTTTTCGAGCTTTGCGGAAGTCTAGTGTATCCTTAATGGCGTTAAGCCCCTATTCAGTGATAAGGCTAGGGCGGGCTAGGGGGCCGGGAGTGATCGCCCACCCTGTGGCAGTGTGGGTGATTTTGGGAATATCGGTGTGAGGTGTGACTCCTTTGAGGGCATTCTCGAGTTATTTTCGTACCGCGTATAGTTTTTTACGAGCGAGTCGGTCTTCCTGCTTTAGGACTACTAGGATCCGAGGGTCGTCTCTTTGTTGAGAGGCAAGGGTTGACCCACTCCGGGCTGAAATCGGTGCGGCCTTACTGGATATGGTAACCCGCTGGGTGCTCTTGGCCTATGCGTCGGTGTTAGGGTTTTTCGGGGTCTAGCGATCCCCGCCTAGGTTGTGGGTTTTATCAAGGAGATTGTTGCCGGGTCGCTTCGGGCCCTGATCGGGACGAAGTCGTTGCCGTTGGTGCTCGCAAAGTAGGATGTGGAGATGAAATTAACCATCTGGGAGCTGATTTCGAGTGCGATGACTCTCTTGTCGTCTTTGCAAGAGGCGGCGAAGGTGTCCACCGTCTTGGCGAAGGTCTCAAATACCTCCCTTAGGAGTTTGGCCTCTCGGGCCTTTGCGTCCAGCCGCTCGGTGATGGCAGCAGAGGCGGACATGGTTGTGGTTGCGGTTGTGGCGCTGGCACCTCTTGGGAGAGGACCGGGGGGCAGCTGGCCCGTAGGTGCTTTCATCCGTTTTCCAGCGCGCTTGTTGAGGTTAGTAGGGGAGGAGGGATCAGGAGGCCGAGTGTATTCGGCATTTCCCGCGTCCACGGGACGGTCAGGGGTGGATGGACCAGCCATGAAGGAGGGTCACCGGGAGGGTTAAGCAGTTAAAATAGAGACAGTCTGGGAGTCTGGGAGCCTTTTCTCAAAGGTGCCCCTATTTCGCAGATGGTTGTAAAGGTGTCAATAGACGAAGAGAGGTGTCGGAAAGGTGAAACAGATGACAGTCACGAATCTCTCAATAGCTAATTGAGAAAAAGCGAAAGAGAAAGTGAAAAAGAGGTGAAGGATAGTCCATCCTAATTGCGATGTCTTAATAAGCTGCCTCCTTGCAGCTATTAAGAGAGGCAACCTTAGAGCCTCATTGCCCCCTGGGGCCGTGACGTCCCAATTCAGGTAGCCCCGAAGGACCTGAAGCACCAATGTGATATTATTACAGACCAAGGTGTGTGTCCTTTTGATCGCTTTTCTCGTGACTATCCAAACCGCCAATCAATCTCTCGATCGCAACCTTCGTGCAATGTGGGCGATAAATAATATGAAGTGGACTAGAATGGTAGCGAACAACTCGTGGACCTACCTAGGTATCCAATCATCCGTGTATCTTTAATAATAACCAGAAACGTCCTCTGCATAATTCATGCGTCTTGTGGCCTTCACATTAATCTGAACGTATGAAACAAGCATTCAGAAAAAACCCCCAAAAAGAAATCCGAGGAAATCACATGCCCATGTAAGCGGCCGATTATGCTTGCGGATGTACATAGAGAACTCAGGGTCATGGGCGTTGTCTCACATCAATATATGTAGCGATCCCATCCGATCTATTCGAGTCCTGATCTTTTTGATATCAGGCGTGATGAATGAACCACTCTCTTTTAGAAATATTTGACCTGTCATTTTCGAATGTCCTCCGATGAAGGATCGCTAAAGGTCTTCTTCCGATCCACTTGGCCCCGATTGGAGGAATTGAATATCGGCGCTATGTGCCATCCGCCAAGATGGGTGGGGTCAAGTTGTTGGAGGCGTAGCTGAGCAAAGATTTAGTGCATTGTGTCTGGTCAGACGCGGATAAGATTATGCAGGTCATTTTCCAGCCAATTGATAGAATTGCGTTGTAGCACAACGAGGCCATGGTGTGGTCACGTTCAAAATTGGGAGAATGACGCCTTAAGGTTCAACTGAGGGTAGATTGGAGTTGACGATTTATCTACGCCTCCTTGACATCCTATCTATACCAGCCTATGAGAAACAGGTCTTCATACGAAAAATTATAACCGGAAATTTGCTTGATAGTTTACCTATATTTAAAAAAGAGTCGGTTTGCTCTAAATCAAAGTTTGGTGTGAACAGTCCATTAGAAAGAAATCCCCCAAATGCCGCTAACTTTGACCGGTAACTTGAGAAGATGTGGGGAATGGTTATAATTACCTCGCTTACCTCGGCATCAATATGAAAATGGATAACGAGAGAAGCAACGGAAATCGAAGATCCACTAGTGCTGATAGCAGGGGAAGTGCTATCTATGCAACTAATCTCCTTCATAGTCGTCGAACTCGATGTCCTAGGAGATTCGCGTTGGACTCCAATAAGTCTGTCACTAACGATACATGTGTTTCATATCAACAATATTATCCATGTCTTATATAGCACGTATCTTCGTTCGTATAATGACCGAGCACTATTGTGTTTCAACTCTCATTAGCTACCACTCACAGCTATCCATCAAATCCAACAGTGAGCAATTTGCATTGATAGCAAATTCGATCACTCATCGTATATAGATAGACAATCATCTACAATCTCCCACTCCGGACCAATTCAAAAAAATTTGTTGATATTAATTAGGGGGGGTAGTACAACATAACAGGGTTACACTTATCCGGCAGGCTGTTCTATAACACTTGGACTGACTTCTACTGTAATCCCGAAAGATCCTCACAAACTACTAGAGATTGGCATAGGTTTAGAATGCATGTCTCACTTCATCTGGATTATTCCGCATGGGTTGGGGAAAGCACCAGACCAAACCCGCGATCCACCATGCCACACATGGACACAGGCAACACGGCACGCTCCCTGATGCTCTAGAAACTGTGCACTTCAAGTGATCGGTGCTAGTTGCATTCGATAGGGCAATAATTTGCTTTGCATAGAATGCGAAAGAGGATTCGTGCAATTATAGCCTCTCCCGAGAAACCTGGAGTTCTCGCGCAGGTGAACTAGTCGATGACATGACCTATCATGCTGCTAGAAATTGACGAGGGGATTTCGACATGCATACGAAGTTCCATCAAGAAGAGGAAAAAGTCTTGACCGATTAATAGATTTCGGAGACTCTCCGACTCCGACTTTCTTAAACGTCTATGCTGGATCCGAATAGAGATAGAAAAGATGGCAATTGTCCGCAATCACAAACTATTCAAATTTCAGAATTCAACATGGCTACGTGTGATTATCTTTCTTCACAGCACGATGGGATCGTCTCACCTCTTAGTGGGATCCGTCTTCCAAATAATGTAACGGGCAAGATTCCCATTTACAAGCGCCTCAACGAGGAGCACGTGATCAAGTCTCGTGAAATTTGAGATTCTGTAAGGATCGCATGGTTTCTATTGGATAGTGCTAAACACCAGTTATAATGTAGAGTTATTACATAACATGCCAAGCCCTCGCTTATCCAACATGAAACCCCTTTTTCCTGTGACCAATTGCTTGGTCCGAGCGCCGCTGAGTAGCGGCCTCAGGCGCCGAGAGTATGCAACCCTGCAATCCTCTCGGGAGCACAAATTGCCCTAGGAATACGCGATGTATCCCTCCAGGTAATTGAATCATTGTAATATTCGTGAATCGACGACTAAACAACTTCAACGAAGCTGTAGATTCCCGATTACAACATAGTCCTTGTCGATTCAGTCCCCCAATCGGCTGTCATCTCTTCACACGCCAAATTCAAGGCTTCCATCAATCCAGAGAACGCTGGAGATGCCCAAGACTTTCATGAGAGCTGCTTTGCCGAAGCAGCGACAGTCAACCTGCTTTTCCCCGATGTACGATCGGAAAGCATCCGCATATGCTTGGCCGCGTGGCTGGCTGCAATCTGCACTGCAGATGACTTGCTGGAGGCTATGCCGCCAGCTGCCGCTACCGCGAATTTGAAAGAGCTGATCTTGAAGTTCCAAGGAAGGAAGGCAGATGGTGCGTATATCTAGATCAACAGCGGAAGATTTTCTAGTTTTGAGATTGATTCGTGAAAGCAGTCTCTGCGACAAACAAGCTCGCGTCAATCTTTTTATTTTTCATAGACCATTGCAACCAGCAACTTGACCTTGATGAAAGCATTTCCCGCCAGCTTAACAATGATTTGTGCAATATTTGCGAGAGCTGGCTTGACGAGCTTCGATTTCGACAAGGCATTTTGCCCAACAACTTCGAAACGTATATGCAATTCCGCGGTAAAACAATGGCAATCCAGCCATTCTTCACTCTGATGCGGACAATGTACAAACCAATCGAAGGAGAATATCTCTCTGGCCTCCAAGATCTCCTGAACCAGATAAGTCTGGTATTAGGGCTGCAAAACGACCTCGTTGGCCTAGAGAAAGATCGTCGGGATGGCGAGACCATGAATGCAGTCTTATTATCGTTGAAAGAGAAGGCGGAAATGGATGCGGACCACATGGAAATTGAATTTCGAAGGAAGATTGAAGAGATATGCGATCTTCACAATCTTTATGTCTCGGCTGCAGTAGAGATGTACCAAGCGCTCCATGTCTCAATGAATGAGGATGCCCACGACCCAACTCTGGAGACTGCAATTCTGGCCCTTGCGGATACCCATCTGAAATGGTGCACGTCGTATAAGCGCTATCAGGCAAAGATAGAATAGATAGCTGATTCCTTGAGACAGTATATTTGGGCTCGATATATACAGCGTTTAAGGCACATGATGTGATTTAGCTGATTCCACTTGACCCATCGCCCTGTAGGTGCTACGATATTATAGATAGGAGCGCATGGAGCGTGTAGTCTCATACTTCGTAGATCCGGTCGGACTTTGGACTTTGGACTCGGGAGGCTCGAGCTGCACATATCCCAACAAAGTGAGGGTGAGAGATGCGGTGATAATCTCGTGATTGGAAAGACGTGCATTATACGGATGTCAGTGGTATAAGCCAGGGTTTATTTCACCATTGGTTTGCAGCTTACACAGATGAGACTATTGAACTGAAAGGTCACCAAACTCTGATATTTAACCTCGGATTTGAAAGTTGGACAATTTGGTGTAGTCACCGTTACTGTAGATACCGGATGCACTTCCAGGCCTTGTCATGTAGTCTACATGGTCAGGTGGATATGTAAAACTCTGCCCAGGGCTATCGGTAAAGCTCATTATTGGAAGCCACTTGAGCAGATGTAATTATGATTCGAGGGATGAGTTGAGCATCTAAATTCTCACATTAATGCACTGCCGACGATAAGATAACTCAGGGCAGTGTTCGAGAAAAGTAATGGTAAAAGTGTGAAGTGTGACCAAGGAAAATGAACGAATCGCTTTCTTCGTGGGGCTCAAAAATCACATCAGGGTTCCAAGGACGAAATATCGATCTGCCGAAATTTAATCGGGAGAGGATCAATTCCATCATGTTGCTAATGCTAAATGTCCATGTATACGTTGAAAAATTTCTCACGTTTGTGGAAATTGGGTAATGTTGTTGAACATGATCAATTCTCGCTAAAATTCCACCGCTACGCCTCTATATAACCACCTGTCGTTGTGGATATCGTAGATCTGTTGGTCCTATTCCATTTGGGCAATCATCAACATTGGCGAACATTGAAGAATTACTTGTAGAAGTGGCAGGAAGTAGAAGAGAAGAAAGACTTTTTGAGACACTTCTTGATCTCCTCCATTGAAGGTGAAGGCTAGATTAATTTGGGGACTGATAGCGCATGTCTACAAAGTTTTAGTATTCCGCACGGTTTGGTTTACCCAAGCCCGTATTTAGAAGCGGCCTTCGCTTGGGTTGAGATATTAGCATTTCAAGTCATCGGGGAGCAGATATATCCAGGCCCTCCGTGTTAAATCATATGTAGTGTAAATCTACTCCGTATACAATATAGAGCTAATCGATGCCAAGAGGTAATACTGAAGGCGAATCTTGATTTCGGAGTTTGATAACCGGGGAATTTCCACTGTGTAGCCTTTGCACGACTTAGAATCAACTGCCTTGTAAGAAACCAGAAATAAATTCCATTGGAACAACAAGATAGTTGGACACAGTGTTCCTTGAATTGAGACGATGATATCAGCCAATGACTTGTGTGGCTGAACTCTCCACTCAAAATAGATCAAAATGATCTCATCCCCACTCTACGCCAGGGACATGCCCCGACCGAGATCCGGTTTTGCTTATTATTGACATTTCTGCCATCCAAGTGTACAAAGAACAGTCGGACAAGGATTCAAGTTCGCAAGAATCGTCATTGAACAAAATTCTCGTTGCGGGTGAATAATTTCTGTGTTGCAAATTGACTGAAGAAACATTGAATTGCCGAACTATTACATTGGCCACGAGTTTTTATACAAATTCCAATTTAGCGACAACTTGAGGAGTTTTTTTTGGATTTGTTTCAACAGGGACAGGGTTTGACAGTGGAGGCAAATTGTAGCGGACACGGTATATGGTCTCTCTGATAGATCTCTGGTCTGTTCGCCCATGTTTCCCCACATTTGAGATAGCCTGGCCTGGGAAGCATCCATGGAAATTCGCAACCATTCGACCAATCTTGTTATCTTTTGGGATTTGAATTGCTCAGATAATCTAGAAACTTGGGGACTTGAAGTCCTTCAGGTCAGGAACGTGAACAGGATTGCAGTTTTACACGGAGATGCCATCCCTCGTGCGACGAATCAAACATCTATGGGACCAGAATTTAGTGAGTGTTTTTGTAGAATATCATTGCCTCCCAAGTCGTACAGGTTCAAGCCCCCGGTCACTCTGAAGAAGCACAGATACCCACCTTCACCCTCCTTCTATACCCCGATTTAGCTACATTCCCTCCCACCATCCCAGTCATGGCCCTCTGATTCGTGCGCCCACCCGGATAGACTAAATTGATCAACCATTTCCAAGACGAATCTCCGCTTAGCAGCTCATCTAAGTGCCCCACTCCATGATGCCGATGATGCTGCTTTCGGCCCTACAACGCCCTGGCCAAACATTGTGTATATTAACTTTATTACAATCCGCCGAACAGGGATTTCAAGCAGAAATGATAATAAATGAAGCCCTGGATGATATCAACGGTCCATGACGTACTAGGATCTGCAGGTATCGTGCCTGTATAGAGAGCTATGGTGGACTTGGTTTGATGATATCAGAATCAAGGAACTCTTTATATATACAGTTGAACCCATCCCTGAGTTTTTTCATTTCATCTTTTCAAATTTGTTCTATTGCTTCCCATCTAGAAACTAACATTATTCCCGAAATATACCCTGGTCTCGGGATTTGTGTATCATCATTCCAACCGCAAACTTTTTAACGAAGCATACTCCACGCTTTTAACGGACACCACTGTATTACGTTCAATTTGCAATTCTCCAACTCGATTTTGATTCACTATAAAAATAACACACCATCCCATCTGTACAGCCATCCAATACCAAACTAAAACAACAATGTCTTCTCCTGCCGTGAGCAAAGCACCCGCTAAGCTAGGCTCTAAGGCCGGAACGCCTGCCAAAGCCCGGAAAACATCCGGATCCAGTGGAACCAGCAAGCTCAGCACTACTGCCGCAAGCCCCCAAACCACGAAGAAAACTACACCCCGCAAAGTCTCCCAGAAAGCCCCAGAACCACTCGACCATGAGATCGAAGAACAATCCATTCCAGAGACACCCTCCCCAAAGTCGAAGAAGCGCACTGAGCAGCGCCGCCCTATCTCTCCACCTGATGACACAGTCTCTCAGACGCCTTCCGCCTCCGGCTCCGTAGCCCCACTCGGCCGCGCTGCCTCAAGCTTGACCGGTAAGGCCAAGGGTCTCGCTGGCAAGACAGAGGAGATAGTCAAGAAAGGTCCCGAGAGTGTCCAGAATGGTGTGAAGAATGCCACCGAGACTGCCGCTAATAACCTGCCTGTGCCGTTCGATCTTTCTGCACTGGAGGGTCTTGAGGTCGCTGAGGGCGGGAATATCCTCGGAAAATATGGGAGCCCCATTGGAAAGGTTGTTGAGGGAGACGCGGAGGATCTTGTGGGACGGACTGTTGGCGATGATGGGGAGATTGTCGATGAGGAGGGTGATTTAATTGGTCGCGTCGATTTCCTGCACGAGGTCGCGGACCAGGCTAACAATGCTGCGGAAGACGCCCAGAAAAGCGTTGGAGAGATTCACTTGGAGAAATTCGTTACGGATATCGCTCAACTTGAAGGGCTGCCTGTTTCTGATGGCGGTGTTATCAAGAATGCTACTGGTCAGATCGTCGGCCGCATCGTTGAGGGTGACCCGGAAGACCTTATTGGGTATACCCTCAATGAAGATGGTGAGATCGTTGATGATGAAGGAGATGCCATTGGCCGGGTAGATTTGATTTCTGTTGAGGAGCAGAAGAAGGCCATTGAAGGTGCTGCTGATGATGCCACTGATAAGGTCAGTGGCGCTTATGACGATCTTGAGGATCAGTATGAAGATGCTCAGAATGATCTCTCCACTGAAAAGTCTAAGATTGCTATTGAAAGCGTGGCTGATGAGGCCGAGGAAGATATTTCCGATGCTAAAGCAGATGTCGACAAGGCCAAGTCCACTGCCAAAGATGCCGCCCCAGACGCTGAAGACGCGACCGATGCTGTGGACAGTGCTGTCGATGACACCAAGGACAGTGCCAAAAAGAACAATGTTGGCCTGGAAGAAAATGTCGAAGGTGCCACGGACGATGCTGCAGATACCGACAAAGACGCTGGTGAAGATGCCACGGTTACCCTTGATGACAAAGTCGAAGGTGCTAACGATACCGTCAAAGATGCCAAGGAAACCGACGCGGACGCGGCTGCAGATGCCCCAAAGACCGCAGAGGATGCCGCCAAAGATGTCGAGCAACGGATCCCCGGCCTCGAGACCCTCGAAGGCAAGGTCTGCAACAAGCTAGGCTACATCATCAACCAGTCCACAGGCAAGCCTGTTGGCCAACTCACCGAAGGTGACACTAAGAAAATATCCAAGCTCGGCGCCACACTCGACGACAAGGGCCAGTTCTGGGATAACCGCGGCAACGTGATCGGCAAAGCCAAAGCTCTCCCAATTTATGAGGATGAAGGTGAAGAAGGCACCTTCTCCGGTCTGGAGGGCCTTGTTGTCAGTGAAGACGGCTTTATCGAAGACGAGAACTCGACCCGCGTCGGCCGCCTGATCGAAGGCGACGCGAAGAAACTGAGCGGCCGTGGTGTCGACGAAGATGGTGAGATCCTAGATCGCAAGGGCAACGTCATCGGGCGCGCCGAGCGCCTCGAACCCAAGGAGGAAGAGGTTGGACCTAATTTCTCTGCTGTCAATGGCCTCTCCTGCAACAAGGCTGGCTATGTCATCGGACCCGAGGGGTACCCGATTGCCCGTGTTGTCGAGGGGAATCCCAAGGAGCTTGCCGGTAAGAAGATCGAGGACGGCGAGATCTACAACGGAAAGAAAATCGTTGGCCGTGTTGAGCTCATTCCGGAGGATGAGCTCGAGAGCAAGCCTGAGGGTCCTTTTGCTGGCATGGAGAGCCTATTTGTAACCAAGGATGGATTTGTCCAGGATGATGAGGGTTCCATTGTTGGTAAGCTTATTGAAGGTGATGCTAAGAAGCTCCGAGGTCGCGCTGTCGACGAGGATGGTGAGATCACCGACAAGTACGGTAACGTTAAGGGCCGTGCCGAGCCCTACGAGCCTCCCCAGGAGGAGGCACCTGCCGAGGAAGACCTCTCTGTTCTCGATGGTAAGGTTATAAATAAGTCTGGTAACATTGTCGACCCAGCCACCGGTGCTGTCGTCGGGCGCATTGTCGAAGGTGACAAGCGCCTCGCTGGATGCAAGGTCGACGGCAAGGGCCAGATCTGGGGTGATGATGGCAAGGTTGTTGGACGCGCAGAGCTTATTCCCGGCGCCGAGAAACACAAAGCTGAAGGACCATTCTACGGCTTCGACAACGCTGTAGTCAGCAGGGACGGAGTCGTGCAAGACGGCGACAAGATCATCGGACGTCTGATTGAAGGCGACGCCATGCGCCTTCTAGGCCGCAAGGTTGATGAGGATGGCGATGTCCTCGACAAGAACGGCAACACCATTGGCAAGGTTGAGCGCTGGGAGCCAGAGGAGAAGAAGCGCGATGTCAACCCCATGTCTGGGCGTAAGATCACCAAGGAGGGCGAAGTCCGCGATGCGGATGGCAACCTAATTGGCAAGCTAACTTCAGGTAACCTGGCTACACTGGTAGGCAAGACAGTCGACGACAACGGCTATGTTGTTGACAACGATGGAAACAAGATTGGCGAATGTACCTTGCTTGAGAACATCCCCCAGCCAGAACCAGAGGAGCCCGAAGAGGAGGCAGAGGAAGGACCCACGGCCGAGGAGCAGGAGGCTGCAGCCAAGGCCGAGTCCGATCGCCAGCTCGCGGAGAAGATGATCTCCATCCTCAGCCAGACTCTTGACCGAGTCAAGCCCGTTTGCAAGCAGATTGAAGAGGCATGTTCTACTCCCGCGTTTGAATTCTTTGTAACAACAAAACTAACATATCATCCAGGCCTGCGAAAAAGCCGACCACACCCCGAAGGAGGAACTCGACGAGGAGAAGCTTGTTCAAACTGTCAAACCGCTTATCGAAGAGGGAGGCCGCATTTTGCAAGAGTGCAACGGAGCCGTCCGCGCACTTGATCCCGATGGACGCATTGCTGCGACCGCCAAAGCGCGCGCCGCTTCCCGCAATGCCACCCCCGAGGAGTACCAGCTTGCCGATTTAATCAAGGAGCTCACTGAGACGGTCATCAAGACCATTGACAACGGCAAGAGACGCATCGCTGATATGCCCCACGCTAAGAAGAAGCTGAACCCCCTCTGGGGTCTACTCTCCGAGCCATTGTTCCAGATTATCGCTGCCGTTGGCTTGTTACTGAACGGTGTGCTTGGACTGGTAGGTCGTCTGCTTGATGGTCTTGGTCTTGGTGGGTTGTTGAATGGTCTGCTTGGCAGTCTCGGACTAGACAAGTTGATCAAAGGACTTGGTCTGGGTAGTCTAACCGATGCTCTTGGACTCGGTGGAAATCAATGAAAAATTGAAATGAATTTGTTATTCACGGTGCTTTTGTGCTTTTCTCAGTTTCGATGCTTTTCTCAGCGCTGAATGGCTTTGTTTTGGTGTACTATTTCTGCCTGTATTATCACTTCTTTCGTTATTAATGAACGCAGACTTCGTACTGAATTTGATTCATTTTTGATCTATTCACAAATATTAAAATTCTCGTAAGTAAAAAGTACAGGTATGCAGAATAGCAGGGTGCAATTTCCATGCTAGGTTTCATCAAAATCCACCCCTCTATGATTTGTAGTATCTCTCATCGGATGAAGATAATAACAAATTGTAGAAGGAATGGACATGTTCATAATTACAATGAGGTTGAACGTTTAAACATTGCACCGCTAAGGGCGCTTTTGTGGCAACTCCAACGAGGGATCGATCCAATTAAACAAGTGTCGATCATCGATTGTTCCATAGAGATGGCGTGGCGTAGACTAAGTTAGTGTGTCTTGGATGCGTCAGTCGATGTGCGAGACTGAGTTATTTGGGACGAATCACCGAGGTTGCGATAGGCTCTGTCTCTCTCGGCAGCCTTATCCTTTCGGATAGTAAGGCAGTTGATGCCGAGGAAAGTGGTGATGCGGTTGATGACGAGTACCGCCCAGTGCATGTAAATAACCAGGGCGAAGAAGAAGTACACCCAGAGATAGAAGAGTTCCAGCCACGGAGCAATTGCCGGGAAGCCGATCATAGGTAGATTGATTAGTACCGCGCCACCCATGAGGGGAGCCTGCATAATAGTCCAGAGGGGGAAGGGCTGTCTCAAGAGATGCGCCAATATGATCATGGTTGTCATGCGTCCAAAGACGAATGCGATGACCCAGCAGAACAATATGAGGTGGTTGCCGGAAAGGATACTTGAATAAGGCGAGAACAGCCATGCAACGTTGGAGAACGTGAAAACGATCATCGGCACCCACTCCTTGAGCAACGGAGCAAATGACAGGCCCTGCTTCTTGCGGGCCTCAGCGACATTCATGACACATCCGGGGAGATGTCCGAGAAACAAGCCACCCAGGAGAATTAAAACCCAAAGGTCCTTAATGGAGTTGTTGCCGAAGATTTGGGGGAAGTTAAGGAACCCAACGATGGGTTGAGACCAGATTCCGGGGCCCCAGATTCCGGAGGCAATCATGGTTGCACAGGCGATGATCAGGCCCTCAGTCGGGCCATTGAAATAGCCGAGGTAGAGGGTGTGGGTGTGGAAGGTCTCCCATGTCGAGAAATACATGGCCAAGCAAGGCACGAGTGCGGTCCAAGCACCAAGTTGCGAGGCCCCAAAGCCCATTGCGGCTGTCGAAAGTAGACTGGCCAGAGTGCAGTTCAAGGAGTCGATACCGTGACTGTACCTGATTAGTGATCCATCCATAGCTTTCTAGAGGGCGGTACAAACTCAAAAAGTTCTCCGAGTCCACTGGACGTCCCGGTTCGGCGTGCCTGCTTACCGTCTACATTGTCGAGGGTAGAGTACCTGTTTTGTGTAAGTTGGAAATAAAAAAGATGAAGGTAGCCGGCCACTCACATCCACATGCCAAGAGCGAAGCTGTAGTAAATCCAAGAGGGGCCCTAAAGTGTCTGCTTAATTCGCCACTTCCGATAAAATGCCGAGCAAGTAACGAGATCAGAAACACTCACGGGTCCCACCATGTCTGGCACAAAAATTTGAATAACAAAGATATTGGCCACGATCCACATGAAACCAAGAAGGGTCACCATGTTCGGGGCCATCCACATCGGCACAACTTCGACGAAGGCATTCCACTATGTAGAGGAAAAGTCAGTCGTTTGTTCCGATGCAAGGTAACTAACCCATGCAGGTTTCCAAGATTGTCATACGTAGTGCTTCAAGATGTACCGGGAAATGAACGACTTGTCGACACTCGAGTACTTGTAAGACTTAAGGGGTAGAAGTGCATCGTCGGAGAGGGAATCTTGGGTCTCTATAGGGTTTAACGTCCAAAAATTAGCTAAGAATTCAGAAGAAATGTGATGGTCGCAGTCTGTATATCACTAACCTTGGACCATTCGATAAATCGCGTTCATCTTTGAAGATCGGACCGTGTCACGTAGTATAGTTGGAGGTAAACACCAACACCTTAGTTCATAGCGAAGCAAGCAAGGAAGTGGGTAAAATGGGCAAGTGCACAGCAAATCAAATCATGCCTTTAAACACAAATGTCGACTTTCACGAGTACGTGGAGAAAAGGAGAAGTGGATATTGTTCCAGATGGATTTTCAGGTCAAAATCACGTGCTTTGCTCCGCATCGGGAACGCGAACAAGGGAAGCTCGACCTTGACTGAGACCACACGGGATTTGCCAGGGCATTGTTCGGACTTGGGTCGCATCGTCGCAGCTAATCGTGTCTTCGAACTCGTTAATCGCCCCTCACTTTAGTCTTCGCTTAACGCTACGATCTACTTCAGCGCCGTGCGATACTCCACCGTGATAATCGCGTAATCGCCCATCTCGCATTTTACCGTCATTTGGAGCTTGTATCTGCTCCACACAAACTGCTTTTCGATTGCGTCCCGCCCTTGACAATACAATCACCTATCGCGTCTGGTTGGATATGACGGTGGATGGTCTTAAAAGCGCCCCCCGCGCATCCCGTCATTGAGGAACCATTCCTTCACGATGCCGGGTGTTGTCGAACTCCCCGTTGGCGCCGCGGCACGCCCGTTTGATCTGGGATTTAGCGTCGGACATCAGAAAGTCGAACTTGAGATTGATTTAGCATCCAAAAGCCTCAAGGGAAGAACGGAAATCACAATCCACCCTCGCCGCAGAGACCTAGGGACAATTTGGTTAAATTTTCGACAAGGCGAGGTTAAGCAGCTGAGCGTCAACGGCAAGCCTGCAACAACAAAATACACCGATCAATACGAATCGCTACAACTCTACGGCGTACACTATCACGAGCGATTGACGCCAAAGATCCACAACCTCTTACAAACTCCCCCAAGACCTACCTTGCCCATCACGATACCAAAGGGCGTCCGCATCGACGAACTGGATCCATCTTCAGCCGAGGCACAGGATCAGATCGCACTACAGTCTACTGTCGAAAATGTGGATGGCCCTTCGAGTGTCAGGGCAAACCTTCCGCGATTCACGGCTCTGACAGTGAACATTGAATTTGTTATTGATACTATTCGGGATGGCTTGCAATTTGTCGGAGTCGAAAATGGAGATCGACGGTATCCACATGCCTACACCACCAACTCACTTGAGTCTGGTATCGGCTGTCCCCTATTTCCTTGCGTAGATGACATGTCCTCGCGCTGTACCTGGGAGGTCTCCATAACATGTCCCAGCTCTCTTGGTGATGTTTTCGACCGCAAGAGTCAAGACGCGTCCGGCGCAGCAACCACGTCCCGCTCTAAAGCGCCGAACCGCCAACTTTCTGCGGACGATGAGGGCCTCGACATGTCCGTGGTGTGCTCCGGCGACCTGACTGATGACATAGTCGATCCCAAAGACCATACCCGCAAAACAGTTTCCTTTGCCTCATACTCACCACTGGGAGCTTTGCAAATTGGGTTCGCCATTGGTCCATTCGAGTATGTCAACCTGGCCGATTTCCGCGAAAGTGACCAGGATGAACAACTTGGCCAAAACGCTATTCCTTTGCACGCATTCTGCCTCCCAGGTAGAGCCGACGAAGTTCAAAATAGTAGTTTTCCCATGGCTCAGGCGATTGACTTCTTCTCTCTGTCATACGGGTCGTATCCTTTCAGCAGTTACAAGATTTGTTTTGTCGATGATGTCCCAACTGATAGCCTTCCAACTGCGTGCATGTCAATCTGCAGCAGTCGTCTGCTTTTTCCAGCCGAGATGATCGACCCCATGTATGACTCTACTCGGGCTCAGGTGCACGGTCTAGCATGTCAGTGGACTGGAATCAACATCATTCCTGCAGAGCCCTCAGATACATGGGTGACAGTTGGTGTGGCATGGTACATTACTGATACGTTCATGAGAAAGCTTTGCGGAAACAATGAATATCGTTTCAGACTAAAGCAAATGTCTGATCAAGTCTGTGACTTGGATTATGAGCGCCCCTCGATATACGACATGGGTAACATTCTCAAGGTTGATCCTTCTGAATATAGCTTTGTTGCGTTGAAAGCTCCTTTAGTCTTGTTTATTCTGGATCGCCGACTAACCAAGGCGAGTGGAAAGGCCACGATGTCCCGCATTATTTCTCGTCTTTTCCTGAACTCTCGTATGGGCGACATTCCAAATGGAGCTATCACTTCATCCCTGTTCCAAAAGACCTGCGAGCGACTCGGCCACGCGAAATTAGACGTCTTCTTCCAACAATGGGTATACGGCGCGGGATGTCCACGATTCCAAGCAACTCAACGATTCAACAAGAAGAAGCTGGTCGTTGAAATGATGATCAGACAGGTCCAATCTGAACCACAACCCCCTCGCGATCTCGACAAGGATTCCTTTTTGCGTGACGTGAAGGAAGAGGTCCGGCACGTCTACGCGGGCGCAGTTCAGCCGGTCTTCACGGGGTCAATGACCATTCGCATTCATGAGGCAGATGGGACCCCTTATGAGCACATCGTTGAAATCAAGGAGGGGGTGACAAAGTTTGACATTCCATACAACACGAAGTACAAACGGCTCAAGCGCAACAAGAAGCAGAGAGAAAGAGCCGTCGCCTCGGGCGATGCTGAAGTCCAAGAAGAGGTTCTGCTCTACTGCCTGGGAGATGTGCTTCAAACCGAAGAAGAGACACAGGCTTGGCGTTTGGCTGACTGGACGAAAGAGGACGAGGAACGAATGGGACAGGAATCTTATGAGTGGATCCGAATGGATGCAGACTTTGAGTGGATTTGTAAACTGTCTCTCGGTATGCCAGGATACATGTATCTCTCACAGCTTCAACAAGATCGGGATGTTGTGGCCCAGCTCGAGGTAAGTTACCTTGCTGTTTTCCACCAATGGACGGACTATGTTAACATGCTCAGTCGTTGCAATACATGACTGCCCAACGAGAGCACCCTCTGATTTCCACCATCTTTGTTCGCACACTCATGGATAGTCGATACTTCCATGGAATACGTACTACGGCTGCACGTGCCTTGGTAAAGCATGCTAAGGATGAAATTGATTGGGTTGGACTACATCACCTTGAGAAGGCGTTCCAGGAGCTTTTTTGTCTCCCAGGATCACCAATGACTCGCTCGAATGACTTTTCCGATCGAGCAGCTTACATCCTCCAACAAGTGATTCCTGACGCAATTTCTAAAGTTCGTGACAACAGTGGCAAAACTCCATTAAGGGTGAAGCGATTTCTTTTCGACAAACTCAAGTTTAACGACAACTCTAACAATGAGTACTCGGACAACTTCTATGTTGCCTCCTTAATGAAGTCTCTATGCCATGCGATGCTTGGCAAGAGCGAGGCGCGGACGGACGAGGACCTCGACCATTTCGATATGGAGCGTGTTCTCGAGGTCCAGGCCGAGGAACAACTAGATAAGGATGCTATTGCCGAGTTTGACCGCTATCGACGAATGGATGAGTGGTCTAGTTCTTTCCAGAATCTTTACTCCCGGGCCGCCCTTCAATGCCAAGCGCAATTAATGCAAGCCAAAATGATCGACCTGGATTTGATGCGTTTCATCCCATATACACGAGCGGGAACCTACGACCTTCTCCGGATAGAAGCATTCCAATGCTTGGTCGACCTTGACATTTCCCAGAGTCCGGAGCTCCTTCGATGGCTCATGTTCACATTGTCCGCCGATTCCTCAGCCTGGATACGCCACCAATCTTTAAGTTTGCTTGGCCAGACTCTAGCACAAATTGCCTTTGGTCGTCCGCAACAAACCCAACCATTCCAAAATGATGGATTGATCATCGAACAAGAATCCTCCACCCAAATCCGCCGGGACGACATCGCACGACGCCAGACCATTCCTGGAGCCATCGAAGCCCTCAAACGAGAGCTTGCTGGCGACGCATCTATGAAGGAATGCATATGGGCAGCATGTAACTCACCGTGTATGGGCCTCTTGGAGCTCTCCGAACTCACTGACCTTTGCCGTACCTTGTACGACCCAGTCACATCCAAGCTCGTGCGGTTGAAACTTCCCCGCTATTGGAGTGTGCAAAACCAAGGTCATGGGAAGCTGCGTTTCTATCGATCTACCAAAGCCCGCCTGGGTCCATCTTCCAAACGCAAACGCGAGGATCAAGGCGCGCACCCACCTTCATCAACTCGTATTACGTTCAAGCAGTCCAAGACTGGCCTGGCTCCAGGAACGCCCACTCCCAACCATCTCCCCAAAATTCACATTCCCAGACCATTGCCTGCGCTTAGCACAACCCCCAAAGCTCCTGCTACGTCTACACCCAAGCTAAAGCTCAAGTTTGGTGGCCGACCAACATGATTATCCAACGTTGTTCTTTCGAATATCACATGTATTTTACCCATTATCTCTTTTATTATGTCCGTCCGTTGCCATTGACTCAGGCAGGAGGATGGAACTAAAGCATGCTCCTAGGCTCGATGTCTATTCAGCTTTATCTTTCGATTTCAATGCCACCTAGCTGTGCCTTGTGTTTAGCCCCCCTCATTCATGGAGCAGGCGTAGACAGTCAGAAAATCAGTGGGATAGCCATGTTAGTCTAAAAATGCGCCTTGGCAAACGAACAGGATAATAAAGGATAGAAAAAAAAAGGTTTTTGATTGTTCCCATAAGAGAAACCGACCCAGAAACTCCCAGTCGCATTAGATCTTCTCCCAGCACTCGGTAATAGAGTGGTGCCTATGTGCGTGCCCCTTCAATCAAAAGAAACGTCGTAGATCGTGTGTGTAGATGTGTCGTTTATTTATCGGTAATGCGCTCGAGGGCCTCTAGCATCACGATGGAGTTACCACGAATGACCTGATAACGACATGCGTTAGCAGGGTTCTTGGCATCTGTAAATAGGGACGAACGTACTACCATGCCAGCGGAGACCTTCTCTCCGCCATCCTTCTCCTCAAATGCCTCATCTAGAACAATGTTCATGAAGACCTGCGCCAAGGCATCGTTAGTTCCTCCGAGCTTGATCAGAACCGCCGTCATCCCGTCTTGTATGGCGCACCAGGGGGCGCCCAAACTTCACGAATACCAGTTTTTGGGGTGTGCACATACATCGTAGCCTCGAAGGACGCCAATGACCTTACGGTTGCCGTTCAGTTGGCAGAAGACCCGCTTCTCCATGTACTTTAAAAAAAGACACGACATCAGCTGAGACCTCGGGATGAAAAAGAGCGCACCATAAGATGGGACACACTAACCTTCTTTAATTCAGGCTGAGCTTGAGGCATATTGGGCAAGTTGGTTGGGTATCCTGGGGTTTGGAAAGATTCAAGTCACCGCGGTGGCTTTGGGAGTTTGGTGCAAGCTGTGACGGACAAATAATATTCCGGACATGAGATAAGCGATAAGAGCCGCCAGCTTCCAAGTTCACACTCCCACTCCTTGCATCGCTCTGTTTTCGCCGGACTGAGTACTTATTAACATGAGCTCTAAATTTGTCAATCGCAGAAAGCCCCGCAAGATTGGCGTGGATGACGAGCAGGAAGATGGAGGCTCTGCGTCAGGTATGTAGGCTAAGATTACTTTTTTTCTACCATAGAGATTTGCCTCCCACGATCGAAGCTGACATGGAGATTTGCAGAGCCAGTCGTTAGGCGCCCCGCTGCTTTTAGGCCGAAGCAAAATTCTAAGTTGCAGTTATCCTTTGGCCCCGAGACGTCAATGAATGATGGAGACCAAGAGAGCGAAGTGGTCCTACCGAAACGCCACGGTCTGGGTCGAAAGACAATGGAAAGGAGTGCCGGTCAGCTTCCTTTAATTTATTCTGAAAAGCTTTCCGCGCGAGTCGGCCAGGACCAGGACCGGCCTACCTATAGTCATGACTACTTGAAGGAACTTCGTGATTCTACGCCCTCAACACCGAAGACAACTACCGACGACGAAACCAGCAAGGCTGTTGACGTTGCAGCTAAATTTGGGGAGATTATGACTGTTCCAAAACAGGAACACATCCCCAGCGAAGCCGAGATTCGAGAGAAAAAGGCCCGACGCGCACGCCTGGCTATGGAACACGGTGCGGCGGACGAATTTATTTCATTGGACGTTAACAACGCAGCCAATACCGATAACTGGGATGCGATTGTACGTGGAGACAAAGAAGTCGAAGAGGATACAAGACTGGTTCGGGACGACGAAGACTTTGCGGAAGGGTTTGAGGAGTTTTTCACGGAGGATGGCAAGATGGCTCTTGGGCGAAAGGCAGAGCGTGAGAAGAAGCGGAAAGACCGTGAACTAATGCGTGATCTTATTGAGGATGCCGAGGGCATCTCCGATGAAGACGATTCTGACTTGGAGGAAAAGGCTGCTTATGAAGCTGCCCAGGTTCATGCGGCCATGGGTCATGGCAAGTCAGCCGGTATTGATCGTCCGAAAACTCCTCCCAAAGTGACATCTCTTCCACGACTGGCAAGCAGTTTTGAAAGGTTGCGCACGTCTCTGGCATCTATGGAAGTGTCGAAAACACTAATGATCAGCCGGATGGAGGAATTGAGACAGGAGAAGGCAGATATCGCAATTCGTGAGGTGGAGATCCAGGCAATGATCAAAGAAGCTGGCGACAACTATGAGCGACTCAAGAAGGAAGCTGCTGATGCTTCGAATGCAAAGCTTGATGGGTCCAGTGGGGCTATAGAGATGTCCCGAGGGCTGGAAAGCATCGGTGCCCCTGTGCCTGTCCCAATAAGAGATGCCTCAATGTCGGATTCCTCGGATTCCAGCTTCGAGGATTCTTCATAGCGCTTTCCTGGCAGCGCATGTAACTACCAGCCAAGCTGCCTGGACTCAACTGCACGTCGACAACTGATTCCCTTGCGTCGTCTTCGTGGAGTCTTCGTTGTTTCTTTTGATACCCATAAAGCGAGTACTGCATCACATTCCGCCCACTCTCTAAGTGCTATTTAAAACGCACTATAGTAACATGAACCATCTCTATCGTGCAACTGTTTCGATACCTCACTGACTCACTCCACCATCTAAGCCCAACATGCCAATCAACAGCTGAAATTTTGATGTGCCACTGGACCGCCATGTACCCTATCGTAATACTGCCGCCCATTCGAGGGGCTCCAGTCATGCTAAGCCTATTGAAACCGCTGCAACCTTCGAATAGGATTTTCACCCCATGATACACTCTGTGGTATACCAACATATATGCCATGCTGGGTAACTCCAAAAGCCGGTTTTTACACCTTGAGTAAGTCCAATTTGACCCGTCTGGCCAAAAAAAAGGCTCGTTGGGCACTCATGCGACATGACCATTTAATGTGTCTTGCCATGGACACGATCAATGTTAGCATCAAAATGCGTTCTGCAATGTACGACAAGTTGACCACATCCTATGGCGACATTATGTCTCGGATCACCTCTTGTAAACAGTTTAGACCTGAGTTTCAACTTCTAACGCCAGACCCCTTACTGTGTACGAAAATGACACCTTGTTCGACCATCCTCCAATCAGTCAGATTCTCCGGCAAGCCGTTTAGCGTGTTAATTCTTAAGTTGAGATGCGAATTGCTATATGGGGTTCTTGCATCGAAATTGGATTCCATGGCACCCTACTTCAATGTCTGCGTGGACGATATTCCGGTCATCATTGGAGAAACGGTCAGCACAATCGCTTGGATTGGCAACGAGACGGTGCGGCCGGCCGGGTGGCCCGTCTGGTCGTTTGCCTCTGATTTTCACCCAACATGGTCGATAGCTATCTCTAACGTTCCCTAAACATATTTGCCTCGTCAGTCTTGCAGACATGGCTATTTCTTTTCCCCAAGGGTATTTGCATACAAATAGAAAGATAGTTTCTAAGCTACATTTCGTAAGTTCCGGTTGAACAAACAAGAAGCCTGGACTTTGTTCACTTAATGTCCTAATTCTACTCCGTACGCCCAGCAGTTTCTAGAAGTGTCCCGCGTCCAACCCAGTCCCCTGGAAAGTCTTCTGTCCCTTGCTTGAAACTCTCAGATAGGAAATCTTTGAGACCTTCTTCTCCGCAGGCAGAACAATCTCCGGACCGTTCAACTTCCAGCTTACATCCCGAACTTCCAGTTCAAAATCTAGCACCTTTGCATCCATAGTGGCAGCTATGCTGTTGAGTAATCTGATATCTTTATCGACATCAGATTGTCACCACCTCAATGTTCGCAACAATTACCGTAATTTTCCTTAATGAAGCTAAGTTGCGAACCAAGCCACTTTGTTCCAGCAAATTTTGAATAAAGATATAAGCAATGACAAGTCCATGGAAGGTAACTGAGTTCTATATTTATACATTGCCAGGATATATCACGTCCAGGATAAGCATCGAACTGGTCAAGAGGCCGCGAGCAGGCATACTTCCCCTAAAAAGGATACAAATGGCATTTGTAGTTCATTGAGAGCTGCTAGCTCGAAGCCTACTGTGTGAAGTGCTGTCCTTTTGCCTTGCAGTGCTGTGTCTAGGATAATTTGCAGAATCATCTGCTTTTCATGTTTGTTCAAAAAGAAGAAGAGGCAGTGGACTCAAAGAATGCTCTTCGCCAGGGTATTATTGCCACCCTTTTCTTTGCAACAACGCGCTATGAGGACTAGAGACCCTAGTAGAACTACGTGTCAAGATTTAAATGAACATGAAATGTCTGAATTCTTCCTTGACTAACCACGATAGCTTTAGAAAACGAGACATTTGAGAGGATAAAAGCCACATTGACCTTTCCTCGGTCGATTTTTTTTCTATCAAGCTTAGTGTGCTTTAACGCTGCTTAGTTTCTAGTCTTGGGAGAGTATCTGACAATAAAACACACAAAGGATAAGAAGTCTAAATGATGAGTAGGCACAATAATGTCTGAGATAGGTAGCACTTCCATTTTCCGGAAACAATGTATTACTAATACTGTGTGTGTTCTAGTGTGTATGGCAAATAAGGTATTGATCATCGTGACTAGCATTCGCTTGTTTTAAAACATAAATAACCGGTTGAATTCAAGTATTCCTCGGCAGTGTTTGTTGTTGTTAGGCATCATGTGTCCGTTTTTAGGCCCTGTTGATATATTGAGAACTTAAAGGAAGTGCAATCTACGCTCAGTTCGCATAACATTCTGTGTAAATACAACATCCCATTGCCTTCCTTCACTGGGCATTTTTCATTTGCATACTGTGTGTTGGGCTCTTTTTATGACCTCCCCAAAGGTAGTGTGTGTCTCAACCGTGATACTGCGAACATAGCTTGCCCTTAATCTAATTTCATAAAATCAACTCCCTCTTGACCGACTCTTTGACTGGTTGATATCCCGGGACGACGCAGTTGGCCGACGGAAGCGGGAACGCGATGGGGAATTCAAACGTCTGGCCTTTGCTTCGGGGATAGCCGCTACTGGCTCCTTTTCTATCGCCTGTCCCACTGGCAAATGGTAGTACCAGTAGCCTTACATGCATATATGATCTAGTAAATAGAGATTGCGTTCTCCTATTGCCCTCGATATCTCCGTGTGTCATTTAGCCCCCTACTTTGCGCGCTTAAAATTTGGAATGGGGTTGTATGATACATCCCTTGTGAAAGTCAATAGTGAAACAGCATTGAACCGATTCAGAGCAGGAAAATACTAACCTTGTCCACCGCTTAAGTTCCTATCCATGAGTAACATCTACTTGGCACCCCATGAAAGACTGGTCAAGATTTTACCGGTTCTACGCGCTATGATTGAAGATGGTCGACTTAAGAAATGCCGCATACTTCCCGAAACCTTCAGTGAAAGGTAAAATATAGTGAAACAAAAACCAACATCGTGTCACAGTGTGTCCTTTTAAACTGAGAGTTGTTAGCGCACTAACCGCGTCAGTGCACCGCTACATGCCAGCAAGCCATGGCCTGGAATGCAGCAGGCTGGATGTTCCTCCCACCTCTTAGTTGTACTTAATGTCTCATCTAGGAACCCAGGTTCCTGGTTTGCAACGAGCAAAATCTGTCTCTGTTAGGAAGGAGCCGAGTCCCCACCTATTGGCGAAGAAGATTCCGTCAGCTTCAGTGTCTCAACTCCAAGACTATCGTAGGCAATTTTTTCTGTTTTAAGCCAAACAACCAATGGCCACCAATTTGATAATGTGCTTGGCAAATTTCAGTACCCCCAAAAAAAAAGAGATAGACTACACCAAAGCACACACTAAAGTACCCACCCATGACCCCGGTATCCGGGATCCCAGCCCTACTTCAACCAATCAATAACCAAAAGACGACCAACGGACGACCAACAGGCTACCAAGAGATTCCTTTCAAATGAGACAACACCATCCTCTTTTTGCTTTTTCTGAATCATTTCCAGCTTTTGATTCTCCACTGATCATCCCTAGGTCCACTGTTAGTACCCATATCCCCGTTCTGTCTGTTTCCATCCCGCCCCTTCCCCAGATTTGTTTCACCTTCTATCTAGGTCTTGATGCTGCCTGACATATAGGACACATCACCAAGTAAAGTTATCTATTAAATCACATACAGAAATCAAATCCGCAAATCCGATCTGCATATGCGGGAAATAAGGTCTAGGAGCACCTAGCACACGGAAAGGCAAGCCTCAAACCCACTGGGGCGGCAACTCCATAGACCTGCAACACCAATATAGCATTGCTTCAAAGAATGAACTTTTCCTCGGAAGATTCCTACAGAGTCAGGAGGCTAAGGTTCTCCCACTAGCTAGGGTATCGGACGGAATCTGTGCGCGTTCGTGCTGCTGCAGGCTCAGTCTTGATATTGCCGGTTTCAACGCCACCTAGGCCATCCCAGCGGTTGATCATTAAAGCTTCTTTTGAATAAAGACCGTTCGAAAATGTTGGAGATCTGGGGAAAAGGGGTCGGAAGTTTTTCTGCCAAGCTCGTGATGTTTTTTCCATATTTCTTTCGGTAGTTGTGGACGTTGGTGACTATCTTTTTTTTTGGGTATCCAATTGATTCAATTTTTTTTTTACTCTATTCCTTCAAATAAGCCAACAGAAAATAGACTGTCTTATGTCCTTTTCGAATATCAATCTTTGATCTCTTCGGGCCTTTCGCGAAATCATGTTGGCACAACGAACTCCCGTGTTGGACGTGAGAACATCAAAAGACTAGATAAGTCACGTACATTAGGATAATATTCTCTGAATGCCTTTAATGAGGAAATCAGTCCTGCCGCGATCTTGTATACTTTGCTTTTTCTCAAGTAGGTTGGATTGGCCGACTTGGCCTGATTGGCCCGGATGCCACTTAGCTTTCCCCAGAAGCTCTCTGTAGCTACCCGCTCAGGATGGAACATTCCAAAGCTGCCCGAGCCACCGCCAAGTTATGAATCATGAGACGGTTTGTCGATCAGGTAGAACTGCAGGCGGGTACATAGCCCTGTCCAGGGTGGTACATGGTGGAGCTTAACGATGTCCGCGGCGTGCCATACTGGGACCGTTTCCAATGGGGATGCAGTTCCGGGGCTTAATCACCCAGCACACCGGATGGAATAAAATGAAGATGTTGAGGGCGAGAAAAAGGAAAGGTTGAACAGAGACAGGTTGACTTGGGCCTAACGGCCTGGAGGGAAGATCTTCAGGGAGCCGTCCAAAGTACAACCCGTCCACTGTTCACTCTCGTTTCACACCATTGCTGGGCATATGATTGTCTCCTACTGAGTCGAGGCTAAATCAGGGCATGACGCTAGACACTAAAGAAAAGATCTGAAACGCTCGGTAAGTGGATCATGGGCATACGATTACTGGGTCCAGCTGATTTCCAGACTTGGGATTTGTGATCGGACTAGGGTTCAAAAGCCATCTAAATTTCTCTTTGTTTTTTCCTGTCCGTTAGAAGTTCTGAATAGTCCGAGATCCCTGGTTCCCATCTAGCAATGGCACGGGCCTCAATTGAGATTAAACGGGCCGAGAAGTTGAAATGACCTGGCGGAATGATGTACATGGTTCATGTGCCTGGTTCGATTGATTCATGAAATCTATTAAAAGACCAGGGCTGCTTTTTCTCCCTAGCCTTGCTGTGTCACTCAGCACATTGATAAAACTTGACATGATTCCATCGCCTATTCTCGACTTCCAGCTTTTATATTGATCCTGTCTCTCAAACAATCTCTCCGTTTTCGCAACCTGCAAGCTAGGACCTTGACCCAACAGCGTTCCAGGGCTTCACCTACTTTCTCCTAACGGTTGAATTGCCGACAGATCTGAGACCGCATTGCATTCAACGGCTCGACGTACCGCCCAATCCCTAACAAGATCGATCTCTCAAAAGCCGCACAGCCGTGCCATTTCGAAGCATTGCTGCTACCTGCGAGTCACTAGGGGCTTTTGTCTTTTCATTGAAGTTATTCAAGGAAGAATTTGCACTACTCGTCACCTGTAGCATTGCCGTCTGTCTGTCACCTGCTCGCTGTCATATGCAGACGGTAAGTGATGCCCAATCACTTCTTACCGTTCTGGTGAAACCTCTCCATATTCAAAAAAGCCCTAACCTCTTATAACGGTCAGCGCTGCAGGTCTCCTCGAATTCTCCACACTAAATCCAGTGTGTACTGGTTGACAAAGAGAAAACCTCCGGGATAGCGGTCATCCACACACAGCGACAACCCGCGTAAAACACTTGCTAGCAATTGCGGTGAAGCGTGGAGGACAATAACGCTTCTAGTGTGCTCAGTCAATTTTTTTTTAATATTTTCATCTTTCTTTTTCTGTGTGGTCAGCATGGCAGACGTGCTAGCTATTCCTGGGGTGCCCAAGGGGTTCAATCATTTGTCGCGAGATCTTATATCCGCCTACTCGTCGGATTTCCTTGGGAGTTCGGATGAGCTTGATAAACAGCTTTCTTCCCCCACAGATTGGTACTCAGTTGTTTACCCCTCCACATCAAACTCCACTTTGGACTTTCATTTGCTTCATCACCCTTCCCCGAGTATTCAAGCCCAACAACGTCCTCGAAAACCGGTTAAAGCCATGCTAAACCAGTATCGTTTGTCAGGAAATCCCATGCCTTCTATGCAGGACAGGCGTTATATGTCCCTCCGAGGGGAAGACCCTCGCCCCACTGCCTATTCGCAGAGCGTGTCTCAATTCATAGCACGGCTGGACCTGAGCAGCACTCTTTCAAGCAACGGAAGCAGTTATTGTGAATCTGATCTGGAGTCGCTTGACCACTTTGACAATCCTTTCACTACTCAGCACATGGAAACATACGCCGGGCTAGTCCACCCAGCACCACGCAGCAATATTTTCGCGGTGGCCAGTAATTCATTCCTCTTGGGAGCTGAAAAAACGCCTTGTCTTTCACCCTTTAGGGTCTCAGATGCCCCGCAGAACGAGCAGGTCTTTTCCAACGCTCATTTCAGTGCCCCAAGCCCACACAGCGCCAAATATTCCATGAGCTCATCTCTCAATCCACACTCCAACAGTGCGCATCTCGTACCATCATCTACCACATCCCCAGGTGCAAGGCCTGTGAATTATGATGAGGTCATGCCATGGTCTGTCTATCAACCAGCCAGTATGACTGATATGTGGTATTCTACTCGTGACCATAGGGCCCCATCCGAGGACAGCGGCTGGCAAACTCACAACAGTTACAGCGCACCTTGGCCCGTCTCCAATGCATACACCAGCTCAACCGAGTGCGACGAGTCGGCGGCCCACATGTACGGATCGAGCAATGGAATGCCTGCTACCTCTTTTGAACCTTCGCCTATGACGCTAGGCTCATCCGTGCCAACCGGGCCCATGAGCCACGTATCCCATTTGCCAGTTTGTGAATCCTATGCACCGTCCATTGAGGCTCCTCAGTTTCGACCCAAGCCACACCCAATGTACCTCCCAAGCACGCAGCTACTTTCCTCCGATACAGAATTTGGGTCCCCGGACCAGAAGCTAGCAAACAGTCTCAGTCCATCCTTCTCTGTCTCAACCAATGAAGAAGGACAATCCCCGCAGCAGAGTGGAGAAGAAAAAGGCAGCATTGAAACTAGTGGGCACTACAGCGATGAACGGAACACGTTCCTCATCGACTGCAAGCGCCGTGGGCTATCATATAAAGACATCAAGCGAGTAGGTGGGTTCAAGGAGGCCGAATCTACACTGCGAGGCCGGTATCGCACCCTCACCAAGTCGAAAGACCAGCGAGTGCGAAAGCCAAAATGGCAGGATAAGGATGTGAGTTCAGAATCTGTGCTTCGTTTCCATGCAAAAGATGGCCACGGACTGACCAGTTCCTATCTTAATAGATCCGACTCCTTTGCCAAGCTGTCATCATTCACGCTGAATCTCACGACGCGTACAGCTCCCTAACTAAGGCTAGCATGAATATGAATGAGCCACCAAAGGTATCCTGGAAAAAGGTTGCCGAGCATATCTGGGCTAAGGGGGGTTCTTATCATTTTGGTAATGCCACTTGCAAGAAGAAGTGGTGCGAGATTAACAGCATCACGCTTTGATTTTGGTCATTGGATCAACACCCTTAGCCTTAAGGGTGAATCTGTTTCTTTAATCTTTTTCATTTTTGGATATGCGACTTATTTGGCAAGTGGGCCTATATCTTGTGTTTTCTGTGCATTCAGCTGGTCTGAGTCTCTGTGTTGTAGCTCTTTCTGTGTATAACTTTCCTCGTGGTTGCTTTCTAGATATTCGAGTACAGCGTTTTACACGTTTCTAATTGAGAATAAATGATTTATCCACTAGCTAACATCTGAGAGATCTGTAGGATTTATCTGGTTTGCATTCCGTTCCCTCAAGCCTCACTCTCAGGAATCGGCGGCATGGAGCAGAGAAGTGGCCGGGGCTGGAGAAGGAGGTCAAAGAGGAGCAGTAAGAGGAAGTGTAAGAGGTGGTTGCAGTGTGCGAGATTGATTAAATTATCGCAGTTATATCATAATCCATGATCAGATGTTGGAGGCGTAGTATCAAATGTGGTTTGCCCTTTCAAGATCCACAACCCCACATTGTTGTCAAAACGCGGGTGATGTTGTAGGAGGCACATAATTGCGGTAGTTAGTGGAAAGGCCATGAGCTTCTAGCACTATTGAGAATCATGTTCTTCGATTTGAAAGGCTTATCTTGTCATGAGGATGAGAATTAACTCGGGTCTTGTGTCGGGAATTTGACGATCTGCCTCGGGCATATCGATTGGTTCGCCAGCATTGGTTTCTCTTCCTAATCCCTCTTCAGATAGTTCAATTTACGCCCTTTCTGCCTTTTGCTTTCTTTTGGTGATTGAAGTTGAGAATTTTAAGACCTAATACCACTTCGACCATTCTTTATTTGCATGGATTGCCTTTTGTATTCCGCAGACCAACAACCGAAGGTAAATTCTTCCTAGAAGCTTGGTTGATCTAGATAAAACCAAGCTGTTCTCGCTTTCTTCCTCTTTTCCTACGTTAGACTTAGAAATTTCATAATTTCCTCGGTGGCTGACGTCCCGGATTCCATCAACCGGGGCATCGACACCCGCTATCCCGGGCGGTTGCTCAGTAGCCGTGGGGTAGACAATGCAATAGCCGCGATGAACGTCGACAAGAGAGTCGGAAAATGTCAGTTGAAAAACTCATCTAGCTTCGCCTTACCAGATTAGAAGTGAGGTTCTCATAAATGGTCCTATAATGTCTTTGCACTAATTGCCCGTTGGCCATGCTCAGATCCCCCTAAGCCCTGTCCCAACCACTGATTCAATCTATACAACCTAAAGAACCAACCAAAATGATCAAACCAATTGTCCTCCACATTGGTGATGATATCCGCTGGAATCATGACCAATACAGCCAGTTCAAAGATACCTTCGATGTTCGCCGGTCCTACAGCATGTCTCGGCCAGAGTTTATCCGAGCCCTAAAAGAGCGCCAATTTGGTGACTGCTTCGCCATCTACCGCCCATTTTGGAATACCGGATGTGAGATGGGGAACTGGGATGAGGAGCTTATCTCGCTTCTCCCAAATTCCTACAAGGTTTATGCCAGTGCCGGCGCCGGGTTTGATTGGGTTGACACTGCAGCTTTAGCGAAGAAGGGTATGAATGCAACGGCATAAAGCTGTCTGGAAATCCCATATCACGGAGAAAGCCGCTAATAACTCTCAACATCTTCAGGAGTTACTTACTGCAATGCGGCCGCAGCCTACACAGAATCAGTCGCCGATGCCGCCATCTAGCTCATCATCTCAACATTCCACCTGTTCTCTTGGTCACACATTGCCGCACGCACATTGGATGCTGATGCATTTGTTGACGCAAACCGTAATCTGGCAACGGTCTCACACAATCCCAATGGGCATACACTTGGAATTGTTGGCTTCAATCAAATTAGACAGCGCACTGCTGAGAAAGCATTCCTGGCCATGAACATGAAGATTCATTATCATGAGGTTGTGAGAATGCCCGCACACCTGGAAGTCGTCTCCAATGCAAATATACCGCAAACACATTGATAGTCCTCCTCGCTGTTTCAGACTGCGTGATGATTGCGACGCCATTCAGCGGCGAGACACTCCTCGATGTATCTCTGATGGCGAAGATGAAGACCGGTTCACGACTCATAAACATTGCCCGGGGCAAGCTGCTTGATGAGAATGCTCTTGTTGATGCTCTGCGGGGTGGTAAGCTCGCTGCTGCTGGATTGGATGTGTACTATGACGAGCCGCGCGTTAGCCCGGAGCTTGCAGCCATGAAAAATGTTTAGAAGATGGCCCACAACGCAGGTGCTTCGTTTGACTCACATTTCGGGTTTGAAAGGCTGGATATGGAGAATATCCTCTCGTTCTATCGGACTGGAAAGGCTGTCACGCCCGTTAATGCGGATCTGGTTGCGAAAGCGACAGGCTCCAAGCTATAATCAATGTTGTGCTCGAATTGTATTAAGGGTTAATGTGCCTACTGTCTTGGGCGTCTGACTCGACGCCTACCCTTCTAGCGGATCGGCTTAAGGCGATTGCTCACTATAAATTGGTTAGATGGGCCCAAACGATCTTTCGTCCTTACAAACACCTCCCATCCCATCACAAGCAATTGCTTTTCACAGCGTTTAGCTTGTCTTTGAGTCATCTCAAGCGTGTGCCGCATCAATCCACGCCCACCCATACACCTCATACCTCTCCTCTTCTCTCCTCCCCCCCCCCAACCGGCGTTTGTACCACCGCAACGTATGTAAACAAAGCAATTGAGACACATGCCTTCCGGCAGTCTCGCCCCATGCATGCACCAATTGATCACATGCTAACATACTTTGACACAGCATGAGTGGACAGGCCGCCGCAGTCCCCGCTGCAGTCCCCGCTGCTGCCCCCGCCATCACCCCCCTCAGCATCCGGCGGGCCTTTGAGGTGGGCATTGTCAATCTTCGGGCCAGCATTGACCGACGTGATGCAATGGCCAGCAACCCCCCCTTCGACGCCCACGAGTTCGAGGTTCTGAGCGAGCGCATCTTGGACACCAAGGTTGAGTTCGCAAAGCAGATCCGCCGCTGGGGCGACCGCTGGGACGCCGTCATCCTGGCGAACCTGTACGGGCAGTTGATCGGGGCCATGCCCGACGATGAGGGAAACTTCCCCTAAGAGGGACCTGTTTGTGTCTTATATTTCGAACCCTGGCCCATGTAAGGTGGCTGGTCCATCTTGCATGGGTCAGGGTTCATGAATGAAATTCCAATGCTTCCTCACCAATTCTTACTTCATTATTAAGACTAAAGTAAGATAAATCTCAGAGCAGTCAAAAGGTATCATACGAGCCAGTAAGCCTAAGACAAGTCCCCCGCTCCTTGGAACATTTCAGGTCGTCACCTTAGTTCTTCGTGACTGCCTCTGGTGGTTGAATACAGCCCGGTGCTTGCGTTATTGCACCGGGGGAGTCAGGTCCAAACTGTTGTACCGGTCCGTCATGCGGGTGAATAGCTACTTCCACGCCGCAGTTCGTGCAGAAGTGGTGAGAGTCGTGACACATCTCCATACAGAATGGTAGGAATGCACAGCAAATTCCGCCGAAGAGACAGCAACATACAGCCGCCATCCTATCAAGTAAATGAGATTTCAACATCATCAGAAGTGAATCTGAGCGGAGAGTGAGGTGAGGTTATGTTAAGACTTACGATGTGGCGCTGGTGCTTTCCTTGTTCACCCTGGTCTGAACCTTTTGCAAACAAAAGGGACAACAGATCCGTGCAGGCTCGTCCCCAAGTTGGGCCAATGGTATGAACCTCTGCGAAACTGGAACTGGTGGTCCAATCGGTGCCACTTTTTTGTTGGTTTGTTGTAATGCAACTGCCGGTGCGGCGGTTGTGATTGCGTCGTTCTCGTGTCTGCCCATGTTAGACAGGGCCGAATTCTTTGGACCGGAAATCATACTCATCGTATTGTGGAGGCGGCCCACTCTCTCCAGGGATCATCACCACAAGTTCTGGCACCGGCGATCCTCTTGTTGTAGTTGTAGTTTGTTCCGGTGACGGTGCTGCTTCAGGGGCTGTAGGCGGCGCCGTAGGCATTGCTATGGGCAACTTCGCAGTCGACGTGGTTTCATCTGCCGGCGCTGTCTTTGATACGGTCACTGCTTCTGTGGCAGAATAATCTGTGCTTGATTCGGCGGCCATGGCCGGTGCAATTCGCACTATTGATTCTTTGTTGCGTTCCATAGTGGATAGTCCGTCTTTAGATTGATAGATGAAGAAAAATCTTAGACTAATGACTGAGACTAATGACTGCAAGTTCGTCATTCTTGAATGGTGATAGCGGCAACTGTGGAGCTCATATCAGTACGAGAAATTCTGTCGATCGAGGGGATTGTGAGGCTTAAACAGCATATTTGACAAAAAGCTAAGGGTCTACAAGGCCAATAACGACTACACGGAAATTGGACAGTGGATTTTGGCCAATCCTAATGGACTTTTATAGATCACATGGCTTGGCACATGGTTTGGCACTCGGGTCTGCGCCCAGCTGTAGTGCCAGGTCACAGCCCCCTGGAGGTCTAACCAGTTTTCATATTTGGAACATCATGGAAGTATGGCTGGTACCAACACAATCAGTCGGGGAAAAATGGTCTATGATGTGAAACAAGATACGGGCTTGTATGTATTAGTCCTGGTTGTGTTAAAATTTGGATGAGTAGATCTTGGACCGATTTTCGGAGTAGTTGTCACATTCAATCGCCGCGGATGACAGCGACAGCGATGCCTATGTTGAACACGATTCACTCAACTCAAATCAAAGCGACCAACAAAACTCACTTTTCGTTTGAATCAAACTGTGTCTACAATACCTACGTTTTGGGAATTTCCATTCTGACTATCACGTTATTATGTCCACAAGCCTACGCCCCGACGGCCAAGATAAACGGAACCGCCAATGAAACCACCATTCCCATCCACGAGCACGCTGCCAAGTCAAGAATCCGACGAGCAACATAATGGTCATCGGGCTGCAGGATCCGAGCGAAATCTCGATCTTCCACAAAAAGTCAGGGCACCGTGCCACCATGGCAAACAGCCTGCCTCGTGATCTCCAGCGATATGGCAATCATTCAATCAGATCTAAGTTCGGAACAAAGTCAGGGAAGAGTTCATGGGCTAGGCTGAGAATTTGCATATCCTGCCTGCTTACAGGAATAGAAGTGCCCGCTCATTTTCCAATTTGAATCTGTCACTCTACTATCAGCTTAATAGAAGCAGTTGGGGTTAATGGAGTCACGTGTGACCCCAGCGCCTTCCTATCTAGGCAGGTGTTTGTTTCTGCGGTCAACTTTGTCTATCCACCTATTGATTTTGCTGGTCGCTTCTCCCTTTCCACTCATGTCTGGCCTCGCTCGGAGCTCCTACCGGCCAAAAAGGCCTATATTGACAGAACATTAAACCATCATCGTTCTGTTTTTCCTGCACGATTTTCAATCAAGGCTCTTCATGTCCTATGATATCATTTCCACCATCTGCTACTTTCCCTTTTGATCTCTCCTTAGCCTTTAACAGCTCGTGATGAGAGGGAAGGGTATATACATCTAAACAAAGGAAATGTTTCTCTGGCAAATCTGGTCGTTATAGCTCCGATTGGCTTTACTGCTATTTGCTTTTCTCCTGTGATGGCAATCGGTGTTGCTGAAATGGGCTGCCCCATGTGTCTCTCGATGAATGGATGGAACAAACATCATAAGAGAGGAAGCCTCCAATCCTTGTGGCTACAATTTGCTCTCCGGGGCCTTTGTGGTAGTTTTCTCCCGACCTGTATCTCCGCGCACCCAGTATTGGTATTCCGAGAGAACTTCAACGAATTACTGGATACTCCAGATTTCGCGCGCTCTGTCTTGTCGATGTGACATGTTCAGAATCCATACTCTTCTCTCCTTGGCCTTCTGTCCATATAGATGTAGCGCATGAGAACAAGGCATAATTTCCGTTGAAAAACGTTGCACAGATTAGTTTCGGTGTGTAATAGATGGAAGAAACACAAGACCTGATATATGTTCAATTTGTACATCCTCCAATCGAATCCATTCCGGGTATTCAGATCTAGCATGCAAGTAGTCTACACCCACCGCTTAGCTATACAACAACCCCAGACAACTCTTCACAGCGAAGCTACACGAGAGTCCGTACGAGGATATCCAATCGTGGCAAGGACCTCCGTCAAATGCTCCGGATTCTCACGCAAAGCATCCCACTCACCCTCAGCCTTGACCATCAACGTCGCTGCAAGGATGGTGCCATTCAGCGAGAGCACGCCAGGGTCAACAATGTCCCGCGTCGCCGCGCTATCGACGGGGACCAATGCCGTTTCCTGTCTGCGTGGGCAAATCATCATTGTCGAGCGGGTCATGGCCAGGTTGTAACTGATGGACGCCAGTCCTTGTGTGGAAAGCGGCTCTGTGTCCTGGCTTAGCGTCCGTCCGCGCGTCGCCGCGGCGGCAGCCTTGTAGAGGGTGATATAGATTGCGTGCAGGTTTTCAGCCGAGGGACACGGTGGGATTGGGAGTGCAAAGTGGGCAAAGGGGAGACCCGGTAGGTGCTGGAACTTTGGCGCTGGGGAGGGGAGGGTTGGTTGGGAGGTAAGGAGGTCGATCAGTGGGTGCCAGGATTCCGAGCCCGGCTGACGCATTGCTTCAACGGGGAGGAATTGGAGATGGCGGTGGGGTTGGCTTGCACCGCTGTTGTCGCCGGAGTTGAAGAAGGCGAAGAGGCTCTTTGGAGACGAGCCGTTTGTGAGTCTAGATCCATCGTCGTCGGTGTTCCAGGCTTGTAGACACTCATATGTAGCCTCTAGGTCTGCTTTGTCGAGGATATCGGTCTGTGCCTGCCAGGCCTTTGTCACGAGGAGAAAGTGGTTCGGGATGACGGGGAATTTGTTGAGGATGAGGTTGTAGGCGGGGTTCTCGGGCGGGAACTGAGCGATCAGAAGATCTGCAGATGGATTCTCGAAGGGATCGGGCTTTGGTGTTTGTGTGCCATTGTCGGGCTTTAGGTTGGAGGGTTTCTTTGCGAGGGCAGGGCAGTAGCGAAGTTGATACTGGAATTGCAGGTTAGGACTGCTGTGGTCGAAGTTTTGACGTCACTCACTGATATCCCTGCAGTATTAATGATGGACAGATGCGTTGGGGAGAACACGAGATGACCAGAATCCCGGGCTGCTGTAAAGCGTCTTGCGACCAGAGTGGGGAGAGTTTCTGAAAATCCTAGTTGCATCGTGGAAGTTGGATGGAGGTGAAACCGGGGGAGATGGCGGAACACGGGAGTGGAGATCGGCTGATCGGTGCCTCTCTCGCGACTCCTAGCTGGGCTTTTTTTTGGGATTTAGCCTACACAGTCCTTTACCAAGAAAATAAAGTAAAGCGTTTTCTTTGAATGTAATTTCAATTCGACACTCAGTTTAGTCTCCGATTAATAGTGTCATAGTAGATCCCGACCAGCAGGATCTGGCAAACAGGCCAATACCAGCCAGGAGAGAAAACAGCAGAACAAGAAAACACAAAAGTCATTCAAACGCATCAATCCCAAGGTATCATCCATAATCCGTTTTCAGACAACTCGCTCGTCAAGACGCCACTGCTGTACGGAAAAATGAGACATGAGAAGGAAGTAGACAAGGCAGAAATGGGAGAGTAGAGAGGGAAAGACAAAGTCGTTTAAGCCATTAATTCATTCAGCGAGATCTCATCATCATGGGGCAGGCACAGTTCTGGCAATAGCATCGCCGGTTGACCCATAAGATGAGGCGACGGGCCGCCCAACCAAGGACCACGCTCCTCCTGAGTGGCGTTGTGCACACCCTCGGCGCGCTTCAATGTCTCAACATCCAGATCGGTTATGTAGGCATCGCGGTTGGTACCGTCGCCCACACCACCAAGAGGTCTCAGACGGACCTCGAATTCGTTATTGAGCATCATTTCGTCTTTCCACAGGCGGCGGTTGCCATCAAAGACACATAGCACTCGCTTCCTGGTCTTCAGGCTGCTGCTGGGGCAACCCCAGGACTGAGGGTAGTTGCCACGGTTATTGCGGCGGCGGGTGGTGACAGCGCGGGGCTTGGATGAATTCTTCGAGATGGCATTGCCGGAGCCGATGAGAGGGCGGGAAGCGAGAATGTTGCCCTTGGAGAATTTGGGCCTAGTCTTCAGACCGCGCCAGCTGGAGGGGTCGTGGGCATCGGGGTCATCTTGGTCTTCATAATAGTCGAATTGGTCGATCGGGCCAGCCACGTCGTGGAGTTTGTGCTTCTCCATGGTCTTTTTGACCTCTTCGTCTGAAGCGACCTCTGCCAGACGCTGCTGGTTGATCGCCTCCGAGGGTTCTTCTTGCTGCACGACGCGGAGAACGCAGTCATCCAAATGTTCGTAGAAGTCCTGCGCGTTGCTAAATGTCGATGAGCAGGTAGAACACTTTCCTGTCGCGTCGGGGCTATAGTTGGTGCCCTTCTTAGCTACGCCAGGACTGCGCTTTCGGCAATTTGGCGGGGTTTGTTCTACGCCGTGGACGGAGGTCAGGTGGCGCTTGAAGACATCGGCGCGGTTGAAGCTCTTCTCGGCGGGGGAGCCGGATCCCGGGCAAAAACCGCATACCATGGTTCCTTTGTAATGGGTCAGGGTGTGGCGGTTCTTGTCGTACTTGCGGGCGAAGCCCTTGATGTGGTACTCGCAGTTGAGGATTGGACACTTCTCTGGTCGCTCAGACTGGTGAGTCAACATATGGGCTTTCAAGTCTTTGAAGACTCGACCACAGTCGGGATGTGGGCAGCGCACTTTTTCTTTAGTGTCTTCGTCTGGATCAATACTGCTCAGCGCCGGGCTGGGCTGGGAGAGTCGGGACTGAATTGAGGAAATGGACGACCGCCGATCGTAGATCGAGAGTGGTCGCGAATGAGACCTCTGTGGGACCAAAAGGGGAGATGGTCCAGTGTGCTGTACTGGTTGTGTGCGGGGCGAGGTGTGGTGCTCTGCGGTATCATTATATGGGAGAGGTGATGGGGCGGGAGAGTGGGAAATATAACTGGGCACGTTTGTATAGGAAGAGGTGGGCTGGTCGGGAAATGAGATGATCGGAGTGATTCCAGATCCTTGTTGCGCCGATTGAATCAATGAGGGATCTGGTATGCCCCGTCAGCATGCTAGATAGCTTTTGCGATTGATGTCAAAACGTACCGACAAAAGGATCGAGGAATTTCTCTTGGTAGGGCATTTCCATTTCCAACGTACTTCCCATGTACTCTTGTGAAAAAAGGTCGTTCATCACTGCGGCTGGTAGACCCAATCCGTGGTTCGTATTCACCCAGTTCTCCTGGAAGGCATGCGCGGTTCCTGAGTATGGTGATCCCATTGCCGATGAAGATGCGCTAGCAATGGACTGCCCTGAGGCAGCAGATCCGGTAGGTAAATATGGCTCTGCAGAGTTAGAGGCAGAGATCGAAGGAGGCGTGGCGGGTATAGAAGCTAAATATGTGGGATTTTGCAGATCTGCAGACTCCAACAATGGGTGGGTGTCGTAGTAGGCATTGGCGGCATGCGACATATCCAGGTCCTGTTGGTAGTGGGGAAAGCCCTCAACCGGGAAAGAGAACATAGAGAGATCCATTGTTACGGGATCGAAGTATGAGAGTTGTTTAGGCCTGGCAGCTTCGAGGGCCATCATCTTGGATCGGGGTGGAAAGGAAAGAGAGTGAAATCGGAATTGCAATCAAAAGTTGCCGTCTCCTTGTTTGAGAAATGTAATGCGCGATGGCGATCCTAGACACAGAAGACTGGTCAGTATATGCTGTCTCATCAATTTTGCGATGGATGGACATACCGGTGATAAGGTTTCTGGGTGAGATCGCGGCCCGCTCGGCTAACCAAGACACCAACCACGAAATTGAGGCAACGTGCGCAATTGACAGATAGAAAAAAATTAAATGCAAGGAGGTGAGAAGGTTCACTTTATTGCAAGGCAGGGAGGTCGCGTCCAAGTTGCAAGTCCACAGACACGGGTAGAGAAGCAATGTTGATCGACGGCAGAGAAGAGTCGAAGGAGATAAAGCTAAACAAGTGTGTTCCCGAAATGATCGAAGACGAGGGTTGCGCTGGGTCGTCGGTTGAGTCAATGATATAGATTCATTGCAGATTTGAGGGAGGAAGGAGAGGATATTATAGATGTTAAAGAGGACGAAGCATTGCCAAATTGTGACGATGCCGTAGTTAGTTATAGTCTTGTGTCTAGAATTATTATGTTTAAAAAAAAAACAAAAAAAAAGAAAAAAAAAGAAAATCGAATTGAATTGAAAGGAAAAAAAAAATCAAAAAGCTACTCCATAATGAAAAAGCAAATAATACACAAATGATAAAATAATAAATGATAAAAACAAGAATAACCATTCCATACCGTATTTTTGGCACGAACCAGATGAACGTGTTGGGGGCTGTGAGCAAGGACAAGGGAACTTAGCGCCCATGCAGATAAATTTGGGGCCCTCGGGCTAATATTATTATCTGCACATGGAAATCCTCGAACATAGGTCTCCATCTGGTCATCTGAATTTTCTTTGGTCGCGAAAAAATTGGCGATTAATAATTTTGAGCCTCTACCCTACTCCGTATGGAATGCTTCACCTTAAAACACTGGATATCTGACATCAAACTGCCGAGAAGAGGTGTGTACACACCATTTGTACTGTAATATGTGCGGTATTCTGTACTCCGTACTTGTCACTTGTCTAGGCCATCGGCTCAGCCTTCATCAGGCGTCCAATGTCTGCGATCCCGTCAATAGTCAATCCAACCCACTACGTAGTCGATCTGGGTTCTGACAGCTCGCCTATCCTTATCCACTTTTGGCTTAATTTGCCGCACGAGATTTGTACGATTACCGAATACTGATCCCGGAATTCCGGTCGAAGCCAATATTGGTTTTTCCAAAGTACCTGCATCAAGGAGATACTATCGATCGTCCATCGTGCTCCAGGGAACAGAAATGGTTAATGGCGCAAATCGAGACGAGAAGCAATTATAAAGTTGCTGGTCCTTTTGCTTCGAAGCCCGGCAACACAAAATGGATTTATGACGGGGGACCGGGAGCAGCCTTCTGTCAGAAATTCAACAGTTGCACGAGAATGAATTACATGTAAATGATAAATTGTGGTTTTTCTTGTCGTTATCGGCACCTCCGTTCTGCATAGCAGGAGCTCTCCTACGGGCGTGGCCCCCTTTTCCCCCAGAAAGACCTCCCCCCCTTGGCCTCGTCACCCCGGCGTGCATATACACGTATCTACGGGTATACATGTGGACTAGCCTACCAAGGTACACAACAATGGAACCCAAGATCGGAAGAGAAAATGTCCATCTGGTACCCTTTCCAAAAATTCTCTATCCTATCAGTGCGGGTCGGAATACTCCGTACCAGTCCAGTTCTCTTTGCATCAAATCATGGCAAGAGGAAGACCGGGTTCGGAATGAGATGATATGCAAACATCTACCAAGTTCAGAAGAAACTATGTTAGATTCAGATCTGCGGATTGCCCTTTCTTTCCCTGTTCGAACTAGAAAGCGAAGGGTGAACATAAGGAACTTGAGAATCGACAGGAAGTGATACCATAACGGAGTACAGAGTACTGAGTACTTCGCACATAGAACACACAAATACACCTAAAAATCGAAATTCCATAAGTTCGGTCGATCCGTGACGGAACCCCATCAATTTAGCATCCCCTCCATAATTCGGCAGGCCTACCGCGTGCCCGGGGAGTGATTGGTCCATGTGTCACGGCCCAATGAAATATGAAATGAATGACTCCTAACTCCCCCCCAATCAGGACACTGAAAGGCCTTCTGAAAGCTCAGTGGGCATTCTTTAGGGCGGTCGGCTTAGGTGGGTTCGTGTCTCTTTCATCCGCTATTCCTGATTGGTAATCTTGACAGGCGATCATTAGAGAGTGTTGTATGGGGGGGTCAAATTTCTTTTTGGATTGACCTCCTCGGATTTTCTCGGCTTCTGTTGCAAGAGCCGCATTCTTTTTGGTTATCGCGATTTGGCCTGCGTCTCTTGGTTGCCTTTTGCGCCTTTTCCTAATTAGGAAACTCGGTCGGAAGCTCCCCCTCCTTGTTAGATTTATAATTCACAGGATACTGTTCCTCTGTCCACGACATATGTTGTATGTCTACAAATAAATTCTACATCCCTTGATCACTGGAAGATCCATATCCGAAGAAAAGTAATGGTGGGTCCGCCCAACATGGATGAAGGAATGTCAATCTATTTTTTTTTCCGGGATGCACGGTGAAAAGAGTGACATTAGGCGGAGATTGATTTGATTGCAGACCCATCTACTTTGATGATTACGATCTATTCCCTTCATGGAACTAACTATCCATCTATGGAGGTTGCCAAACCAACACCGGGGTGATTTTGTGCCACCAAAAAAGAAAACCAACCCAATGTCGGCCCCCTCGATCCTCCGCATTTCCCATTGACCAAATTTGTCTAGACTATCTACACTAATTACGCCATATAGCCCTAGCCGATACAGGGGAGTGCGAGCTGTCATTCGGAGTGTCCGTGTTTGGGGGCCGATGCACCAAAATACAACTAGCGCCACACATGCCCAAGCCACAGACCCACGCTGGTCTATACCAATCATAAGCGAAAAAAAAGGCGTTCTTGGAATTCGTCACATAGCCAAACATCTTAGGGAATTGTTGATCCACATCCCTGAAAATCAAGGCGCAGCTGGATAAATTACACCGCTGTCTGGGGATTTCGTATTTATCGGCGATCCCGGTGGTTAAAACCCCCGTGCATTAAATGGGTCTGTTCTACTCACTAGGAAACAGTCATGTACTCCGTTTGCAAAGTCTAAATTTTAGTTTGTACTAAACTGGGGGAATGAAGTCATATCCAGCGTATGTGCTGAGTTGGATTCATTTTGTTCTGGTGAAGCCTTGGCCACATCCAACAGAGTGAACCTGGCGGCATCTGGGGATTTACTTGTCAGGTTTCGACGCATGTTCCTACACGGTTACAGGGAGATATTTACATGCGATGCCAAGTTGTCCCATTTTTTTTTTCGCCTCAGAATTAATCGCTATAAATATATGGAAGTAATTTAATACTGTTTTGACGGATGAAATTCAACCTCTACGTCAAACACATACCCCAAAATGTCCTCTAGCGCGTTAGCCAGCCAGCACCGAGAAATGGCCGTTGAGAGACGCTGTCAGTCCTTCACACGTGCGATAGAGGTGTGATCCTTTGATCCAATCGTACGCTGAATTTGTTATCCCCCTTTTTCCTTTTGGCCCCCAACTTCTATAGTATTTTTTCCACCACAACACCGAAACACACGGAAAAGCCACACACTGGAAAATGACACTCCGGGCTCTTCTTTTCGCTTCGAGGAGGATGGGGATAGCTAAGAATTCTCCACTTGAGCCGTCACCACAGCATTGGGGGACACCCGCATGCTCACCCGCTTAGAGAGTTTGGATGGAATATTCACCTTGTCGACAACTGAGACAACGTATTGCATGCTGAAAGGGAGGCTCATCCGGCGACTCCGAGGACCTCCCCTGTAGGTCCATCGTACCGAAATTTTAAAATACTACTTCGTACAATGCAAGAGGCTCTCAACTAGCGTTGCTGCCCCTCGAAGATTGGTGGAGAACAAATACCCCAATGTGTCGGTGCTAGCGCTTGGGAAACGAGGTACAGCCAAATATATTTTAGCCCGGGTAACACGGATAATCGATCCATGGGTTGATCACTTTCATCAACGACACTTTGTGCTTCCAACTTCCTTTTTTGGTGATACTCGTGCTCGGATTGACCTCGGGGCCCAAGGTCACGGAAGCTAGTCTCCAGAGTGGTCTCCCCCAGAGCTTGGAAATCTTCTAGTTTCGCACTTTTTCCCCAAAATCATACCAGACCCAAGAATAAACCAACCCTCAGGCAAGCGACCAGAGATCCCAGATGTAGTAAGATATAAAATAATAGTGGTGACACCTCAAGTCTACAGTTCTCATCTCAGTCAAGCATTGACGCTGAACCCATACCATTTACAGCAGTGCACATGCCAACAGCGGTCCTTACGCCCTACAGAAGCAGCGGGCAGGATGAGGGTGGGGGGGAAGATGTGATCCCTGCCCACCCGCGTGGTTTTTTTTTCTTTCTAAAAACCGAAATGAAATAAACAGGATGAAACCGCAGGAGAAGATCAACGTTAACGAGACGAGAGGACATGCATAGACAATCCGGTCTGGAGTGGGTATTCCGGATAGGGCAGGTGTGGTTTTTTTTTTTTTTTTTAGGATCACTGATATTGCACGGCATGAAACACTAAAAATAATAAGATACCTGTCTATCCTTCTCGTCTACGGAGGATCTGGTTACATCTCTGGAGTTGGTAAATTGGTTGGCGAAGTCATGGTTCATGGTTCATTTAGTCCCCGCTGATCTGTTGCAGGACATCCACATTTAATCTCATCCAGTCTTTCCTAAATTGGTTAAGATGCTTTTGATGTTTCGATGTAAAACGTTTTAGGCCCCCAAATTTTGACCTCTCTGTGTGGACAGGGTTGGCGGCCCCATAAACGCCATCTGTCTTCTGTGGCTCCTTTGGGGATCGCGATAAGCGCTTCACAAGGATTTGGATTGTTGCGGCTTCT